ATTTAAAGTTAATTTAAGACACTGCAGCCTACGCGACCCATGTTTATACGATGAAACATGCCTGAGTAAAAATTTTTGCATTTTTTTGTAAAATATTAAACTTCTGGTCATTTTTGCCTTTTTTAAATGTATTTTATTGAATTTATAGTTTTTTAAAGCCAATTTAAGCCTTTGCAGCCTGCGCGTTCTATGTTATACGATGAAACATATCTAACTGAGAGTTTTGGGGTTTTTAAGAAGAAACATGCTTATTTAGGTGTATTATGACGTTTTCGTTATAATTTTATTAAAATTTTGTCTTTTCTCTTTTTTTAAATCAAATTTAAGCTTATGCAGCCTGCGCGACTTGTGTTATACGAAGAAACGTGTCCAAACTTAAATTTTTGTTTTGTTTTCTGAAACTAATGTGCTGTAGGCGTTGCTTCGTATTTTACATTTTAAAATTCCGCAGCCGTGCTAAATAGTACGTTAAAAAATAATAGCACAAAACCAAATATCCGTCTAAAAATATTGTCATTACCCTTTACAAACCTACTTTACTCTGTACTCAGCCATGTAATTAGGTATTTACTCTTTGACACGAATTTTTAATTATGTTTTGGACTCTTTTTGTCATACTATAAACAATACAGACAAGCTCGGTGAATAGGATTTACTTTGGCTTTTCACCTCATCCATGTTTTTTGATGTTCAGGTGAAGGATTTTTGTGTATAGGCGAGTGGGAATGATCTTATTTTACGCAAGATGAGTATTTTTAGGCAGGTATGGGTTTTGTGAGTATTATAATAGTTAGCTTTTGAAAATTAAAAAGCAGTTTTTGAGTTATGTTTAAAAGTTTTGAATGTAAACCTGATTTGAAGTGATGATATTGACTCTGTTTTTAGCCCTGCCGGTTATGTTTGATGTTCTAGTAGGTGAATTTTATATTTTTAGGTAGTTATTGAGATTTTTAGTACGATAAAAGCTAGTTTTTTGAAAAAAAGAAAAAGTAGTTTTTGAGTAATTATCTAAAGTTTTGTAGGTATACCCGATTTAAGGTGGATCTTGTCATTGATTTTGATGTCTGGCTAGGTTTAGATAATATTACAGAAAGGCAATCTAGTGTTTTGAGATACCTACGGCCTTGTTAATTTACTTTACATTTATTGAGATATTGGTTTCCAAGTTATGATCAAGAGTTTTGTAGATATACCTGATTTTTCCGTCTAACTTCGTATATTTTCGTCTGTATCTAATAAAAATGACCTTTTTAAAAAATAATTTTTTTGTATTTTAGCTACTTATAAGATTAGTAAAAGCACTAAAAGTATTATTTTTACGTTTTACAACATGTTTTTGAGGTACAAGGAAATAATCTTATGTTATCCAGGCTATTTGGACTTGTTATTGATCATTTTTTCTGCTGTAGCTGATATAAACCTCATTAATTTCTTACTCTTTGTTTTTTCTAGGAAGTACTATGTAGTATATATTCTCAAAACTTCAGATTTTACATAAACTTTTCACCGGTTTCAATTTGAAGTCAAATATATTATTTATGGTGAATAATATAACAGTTTGAACTCCTTTGGTGCGTTTAGACTACATTTTTGTTTACATTGACCTTTTTGGACTTCCTCATGACCAATTTTTAGATTTCTAACCATTTTGGCAATTTATTTGTCACTTTTAACTATTTTTAGAGTAGAAAGGCTGCGCGAAACAGTTTATACGATGAAATTTGTCTAAGTAAAAAAATTTGCATTTTTTTGTAAAATATCTTATTTTTGGTTAGTTATTTATGACGTATTGTATGTTTTTCTTTGGTTTTTTATGATTTTAAAGTCAATTTAAGCCTGTGCAGACTGCGCAATACATTTTATACGATGAAACATGTCCCGGTGAAAAATTTTGCATTTTTTGGTAAAATATTGTATTTTTGGCCATTTGTAGCGTATTTTATCGTTTTTTAAATTATAAGGTTTTAAAGCCAATTTAAGCTTTTGCAGCCTGCGCACACAATTTTATACGATGAAACATGTCCAAATAAATATTTGTGTTTTACTTGGTAAAAATGATTTCAACAGGCTTTTTATAGCGGTATTATAAATTTAAAATTGGGTCTTTTTCGTTTTTTATATTTTAGTTTAAAAACATAACTTACAAAGGAGGTACCCGATCTGCCCCGCTCTGATTGACTTCAAACTTTTTTTAGAGAAAGATCATGTAAGTATAATATCTTCAGCAAAGTACTAAATCGCGCTTTCCAGAAAATTTCGAAAAAATTGAGATTAAAAAATTAATTTGAATTTTCCGCCAAATTGGCATTGTGTTTCAAGCTTATAATTTTGTCATTTTTGGACTTTTAATCATTTTTCTTTGATATACTAGTAGAATACCTTTAAATGAACCTGCATTGTTAACTTTGTAAGCGTAGCTAGTCTGGAAAGTCGAAAAAGATGGTTGAAACACAATGCCAAATTGGCGGGAAATTCAAATATTTCAAATTTAAATTTCAAAAGTGGAAGCTAAAATTTTTTATACGTACTATCGGTGGTACAAAGAATTTTTATAAAAATTTTGAGCTGATTCTGAGCGCGGCAGGGTACTTTCCTATTAGTCTTTAGTCCTTATTTTTTAAGCCTTTAGTCGATTATAACAATATTAACCATTACCCCGAATTGGCTTGGAACTTTTCTAAACAAATTCCGCAAATCTCTCGACTTTTCGACAACATTCCCAGGCCCCTGTAATTGTGAAAGTGGCATATATCATTGCAAATTAATACTTCCTTCGGGCGTGCCGTGCTAACTTCCGGTTTTTGTTTATTTCAGTACAAAGTTTGGGGTCGGCTGTACTCTTCTTATTAAAAATGGCATTTAATGTTGGAAGAAATGAAAATTTGAGGTTGTTGTGATCTAGAAATGGCATAAAATTTAAATTTTTTTGAAATTTTAAAATTTTAAAATTTTTTTTAAATTGAAATTTTTGAAAAAAAAGTTTAAATTTAGCCCAAAATTTTAATAATCAGTGATCTTTTGCCCTTAAGCCCATTTGAAAGCCTGTTTTCACTCTCACAGTACAAAGAGATTAAGTTTGTTTTCATTTGCACGGTGCACGAGAAATCGTAGATCATGCACCAAATTTGAATCCAAAATGGCTGTTTTTCAAAAACCGACCAAAAATTTTTATATCCCAAGATTTTCAACGCAACACAGTACAATGTGTGTTATTTTAGCCACGTTTTTCGTATGTAATTAGGGGTTTACACGCATGTTTTGACCAAAAATATAGTTGGAGACCTGCTGGGGGTCTAGTGTAACACGGCTTTATAGTGATGTTAATGATGGGGTTAATGGTGTTGTTGTGGTTCTTTGATAACTATGTACTGGCTATGGTATGTTACGCTAATCTTATTTGATTTTGTGATGTTTGGTGTTTGTATTTGAGTAGAAAATGGCAATGACTTGGGGGAAGCAGTGAAATTTTACTAAGTTTTAAGGTTTTTTAAAGTTTAAAGCTTATTTTTATGTCATTCTTAATCACAATATATGACAAAAGCTTATAGTACGTATACTGTAGAGTATGATGCTTATTTTGGTATATAACAAATGACATTTAGTATTCTAGAAAAAAAGTTATACTTAAAAATGTCAGTAAAACACAGGTTTCTTAATTGTTTTCAGATTTCAAGTTTCAGACAGTATTGTGTGACATTTCTAATTAGATACAAGTACAAAATGTTGTTTACTGGTAATTTGAGGTTTGGTGATTACGGTAATTTACGGGTTTGGTCTACACACCTAAGGGGAATGAAGTTATGACTAAAAAACTAGTGGCAACTCAAGGTTTTTGGACATTTTTTGAAATTTAAAGCTTATTGTTGTGCCATTTCTAAACACAATACTTGACAAAACTTAAAGCATTTATACTGTGGAGTATGAAGTTTACTATGATGTATAGCAAATGGCATTCGGTACTGTAGAAAAAAAGTTATAACTAAAAAAGTAGTGGCAACTTAAGGTTTTTGGACGTTTTTGTGATGTTTGAAGCGATTTTGATGACTTTACTTTCATTTTTAGTATCTATAATGCTATGCAAATGCCAGTTTATGCGTCACAGATCTGTGACTTCTTATGATTTACAAAGCAAGCCATTTAGGTACATATTTTTTTACCCAAGACACAACAACACCGGTAAAATGACATTACAAGTAAAAGTCAATCACTAAAATTGTATTTACCACTCCATTTTATTCAATTTAAATATTTAATTCAATAAAACTATGAAATTCAACTTGTTTAATTAGAAATTTGCAAATCATAAATGATTTATGACGGATTTTAAGGAATAAAGCGACAGCCGGCTGTAAATTCCACAAGTTCTGTCTTGTGGCGTCTTAGGTGTCTGTATGGCTTCGGATTACTGTCGTGTGGAGGTGGAGATGAAGTTTTGTTGTTAATAGAAGTTTTTAAGAGACTTTTTAAAAGGTTTTCATTTGTAAAATACGAAATTTGAAACATTGATTTACTGTTTGGGTACCACCACGAAAACTTTAAATATTTCAATTTTTGCTTAAAAACAGTTTTTTCTGTATTTTTAATACTTTTTAAAGTTTACAGTATTTATAAAAATTAAATTCGTTTGGCTTTTGGTATTTTTGTAAAAAACGTTTTGGTCCCACCACGAAAACATAGAAAGCTTATATTTTTCCTTAAAGTGGCTTTTTTGTTATTTTTACGTTTTTTAAAGTATACAGTACTTATAAAAATAACTTGAATTAGTTTTGGCATTTTTGAAAAAAAATTGGGTCCCTCCAAGAAAACTTGATTTTTTTGAAAATAGCGATTTCTTGCGTGAAACGAGTTTTTACTGCCATTTAATCGTTGATATGCTTATTGACAACGTGAAAAATCGTTTTTTATTGTCATATTTGTAATAAAATGGCATTTCAGAAATGTTTTGGATCGCCTTATACCAATACATAATTGGTATCATATTCTCGTTGATTGCACTGCCTATGTACACAAAGCTCATCATTATATCGAATAAACAACAGAAGAAGCCAATACGATTGTCGTCGGTTTTTCGGCTGTATCTGTACAATTGGTGGATATTCATGTTCACATCGCTTATATTCAACATTTACATGGTTTGTCGGTTCAATGGTAGGTTACTGTAAAGTAGAATACGGTATATTAATTAAAGAAAGATGTAATATAAAACTTTTGGACAATTTTTGGTAAATTCGGCCTAGTTTTGTCAGCTTTTTGGGAACAAATATAAAATTGTCATGTTTTGGGTCCCACCACGAAAACCCTGAAAATCAATTGACTGTCTAAAAAATGGTGTAATGGTAATATTTATTACAAAATACGTTAGTTTAACTCGAAATTAAATTCATTTTTAAAAAATTTTATAAGAATTGGGTCCCACCACGAAAACCTTTCAAATTAAATAAAAGCTTCAAAATTTACTGTAAATGCCATTTTATGATAAAACCGAAACTGAAAGGCTTTTTTAAATAGTACAAATACATTTTTAATTCCACTGTAATACAAGAATGTCATTTCAGAACCCCAATCCACCACAAGTCTCTTTGGCTGGGGTCTATCAGTCCAGCTTACCATAATGATCTCCCCAATTACCGTATTCTTTGTGGTACTAGAGCGAAACCTTGTATTTCTACTGCCATTTAAACAACAAATCCTTCGCTGGTGGTTGATTCGAATAGAGTTTGTGGTACTGGCGGCATTTTACTGTCTGTTCGTATGTGAATTACTATGGGTGACACAGAGTTACAGTGATTACACGGACTGTAGAGCCTTTGGCTGTTTAATGAACCGAAAAGGTGGATCGGTGCATTTGAGTATCAAGATTGCCATGAGTATTGGGAACATTGTCAACATGATATGTTTTATTGTGGCATTGAGAGGCATGAACAAGACTGCTTGTCATAAGAGGGTAAGTTGGGTAGAGGTAGAGTTTTATTACCTAAAAATATAGTTTTAAAGCTTAAAATTATTTTTTTCCTAAGGTGCTATAAAGCTAAGGCTAGGACTAAGGCAAAGACTAAAGCTAAGGCTAAGACTAAGGCTAAGGCTAAGGCTAAGGCTAAGGCTAAGGCTAAGGCTAAGGCTAAGGCTAAAGCTAAGGCTAAAGCTAATTGTTAGGCTAAGCCTCTAGCCAAGCCCAAACCCAAGCTCAGGCTCAAGCTCAAGCCCCATCCCAATTCTAAGCCCAGACCTAAACCTTATCCTAACCTTAAGCCTGAACTTAAGTCAGGCTCTCTCTAAGTCCAGGCCTAAGCATAAGTCTAAATCTAAGCCTAGGCCTAAGCTTAAGCCGCAGCCAAAACCTAAACTTAATTTGGGCTTGAGGCTAAAATTATATTTCAATTTAACTTTAAGCAAACGCCTAAGCCTAATCCTGTAATGAAGGTTAAGCTTGAAGTTAAGGTTAAACATATTTTAAAGGCTAAATCTAAACCTAATTTTTTAAAATTAATTCAACTTACATTTTTCGCTTTTCAGACCAACCGGCTGGCAATAATCGTAATATGCATGGAGTTGGTGTGGAACATAATTCCTCTAATATTAACCAATATTTTGATAATATCAATGAATTGGAACATTGCCGCCTACATTGGTCCATACGTCCAAACACTTACTGCCATCGATGGGCTACTGTCAAGCATACTGTACACTAACAATCTGACTTGGCCAAGCGATTCGGGACCGAATCCCAGCATCCGAAGCCAAAAACCCTTCATGCTTAGGGTTATGCTGGCTAAAAAAGAGCTTTAGGTTTAAACGTAAGTTATATATTTTTTAATTTAAGGTTAAAGTGCACGTATTTTACCATATTTAAAGATTATTTTACAAAAATTTGGTAAAGTTTGGTCCCACCACGAAAAGCTGAAAATTAAAAGTTAACCTTTAGTGTCTAAAAAAACATTTTGTAGTCATAGTAATGAAGATTTGAAATCAAGAAACTACACTTGAACCTAAAAACTATTTATTTTTACTTACTTTTGGTCTCACCACAAAAACCTGAAATTTAAATCTAAAATGATTAATCAGTTAATAATATATGAATCTTTCAGATGTAGCTCAAGTGGTACTGTTCACCGAGAGCTTTATTAACGGGTATTTTTGGAAAAATGGAGGTACGAGCTCAATAACCGACGTGTAATCTTATTTTACATTAGTGATCACCTATCATGTATAATATACTTACCGCTACTGTAATTAATTACTATTTATGTATTACTTTTTAAAATAGGTTCAATTTTAGTACATTTTGTTTTTTATTGTAATTATAGTACATATATATAGACCATAATGACAATAGTAAATTTGTCATTGTTCTGTGTTTACTCTGCAGCTGGGTATATACTACTACCGTAAAAACTAAAAACTGATCATGTATAATACTTTTGAAACTACAATATTAAGACTTATCATGTACATACGATTTGACAAAATTTTCGATCTCATAGATTGCTGTTGATTGTACATATTGTTAATACTTAATAAATTATTGTTGGATTTATATCGTAATTTTTTGCAAAAGTAATAAAGAGTAGTGCTGGTACCAGGAGCAGCTGGCCGTATTGCTGACTGAATAGGTGTACAAAGATTGTACTATTATGACATACAACAATAGGTATATAGACGTGAACTACAACTGTGTGTGTTATATTATTTTACAATAGTAGTTGTAATTACTTTAAGCAACCGTAGTACAATGTTATGTTAGCGGAATAAGTTTTTATGATTAGAAGAAAAAAAACAGTTACTTGTCTTATGGCTGTAAGAGATAAGAAAAATGTATAAGAGAAAAATATATCTGCATTGTGTTGAACTTTACCTGAAGTGGTCCAAACTGTCCAGGAGCATTTTGTGTACGAAATCATCCACTCTGATCAAGCCGCGATTTATGGCTTCTAAGATCATGTGTCTGTCGCCCAAATGTTGAAAGTTGGCTGAGTCTTGGAAGTGGAAGGCGGTATGTAGGAAAACCCTGTAAATCTCGCTATAGTATGTTATCGTCGCGATATTATATGGTTGTTTGTTGATGACGGTTCAGTGAAGTTGGCTGTTGATATCCGTCACTTTTGCGGCGGATTTGAACTCTTGTAGTAAAGTCTGGATGCTACCACCGTATGGTAGCATAATCCACGGTGCACGATGCCTTATAGGGGCTGTAATCGTGGCTTTGAATGATAGTCTGATGATGGCTACCTCTCTCGTGAGTCCGTACAGAGGTAAATACAGATCATTGTGATGACAGAAATCGTCATCAATATTTAGTGGTACTACATCAGTGAATCGAGGAGTTGGTAGAGACCTGGATGGCGTTCTGGTGTGGTAGGTCTTCATGGCGGTTGGTTCGGCAACGATGATTGCGGCCGGTTGAGTTTAAGCTATTGTGAGGAACTGTTCCTCAGTGGATAGGTCGACGAGATGTTTACGATTGGGGGTCTGTAATAAACGGCATACGTTGTGGAAATCCTCGTTTATGACAATGAGAATATGGTCGGTGGATCTGTCGCAGATCACCTTCGAGAAGTCCATTGTGGGGTAAAGGGACGGGTAGAGATTTTACACGCCATTCGTTGTGGTGTTGTACTCCAAAATGGACGATCCAAAAGTACAAGTTTATTGAACAACAGTGCAATAGTAGTAAACAATAATATAAGGAAATAAGGAAGCAATTAAGGCTGGTACCAATAGCAGCCTTAATCTAATGCTGACTGGGGTGCTTTTGGGACCCGCGCTTAAATAGTGCTAGGTATCTATGATTGTGTGGGTCCAATTTAGGAATTAAAAAGAGGTTCACCCGGCTTCAACACTTTGTGGTTCATAGCTGATTTTATGAGGGGCGCTTTGAATATCGTTGACCAGTTGTACTGTGTGTTGATGTAGAACGAGGCTTGGATGGTTTGGCGGTAGTGCTGGCAGAAGTACGATATGGAAAGGCACGCTCGTTCCGTGTCATTTTTGGTGACGTTGTGAAGTTAATGGGTGATATCGGTGATTTTTGCTGTTTCAACAAGATTGTCGTAGATGGTCCATAGGTCTTGCCCGTTACTTTCCAACATTATCCACGCGTTTTTTGTCGGATAGGCCTGCCTTTGGTTACTATAATGTTACACCGATAGACCGGCACGGTTTCAACATTAATAGCTTAAAAGCCGAGTAAAGGTAGATGAAGCTGTTCCTCAAGCTTATATATATTCTTCTTCAATATTGAGGAGCAAGATGCAAAAGAAGCGGGGAATCGGCATAGAGGTGGGAGGCACTTGTTGTTGCAAGAGCGTAACAAAGTGCGTGGGTACTATTATCGTAAATGGTGGCATCGCTCCGGCTACGTTTAGTAGCGATGGTTGATTTGGTAACTAAATAGTTTGTCGCTCTGTGTCGGAAGGAAGAAGTCGCACGACTTCTTCGTAGTCGATGTTGGAGACGATCATCAAGTGGTCGAAAATTTGTTGTACTCCAAATGGGGCGATCCAAAAGTACGAGTTTATTGAACAATAGTGTAATAGTAGTTTGATATTACAATATATTACAGTGGTGTATATCAGTAGTATATGTAAATTATGTAATGTATATCAACAGTATATAAAAATAATATACTGTATGTCAGTAGTATATAAAAATGTTATAATTTATAATAAAGTTTACTTTTTGAGACGTTTACAATGCGTAAATAACTGAATTCATCCAAGCTGTCCAATAGTCTCTTGTGAAAGGAGACATCATCAATAATAAATCGTTATGGCTACGAAGATCATGTGTCTACCACCCAATTGATTAAAGTTGTTCGCGTTCTGGAAATGAAATGCACCATGAATAACATCACGGTATACTTCGCTGTATTAGGTTATATTTGCCATGTTGTAGGGTTCGACATTTACGAAGGTCAAGTGTAGTTGAAAATTTACGTCTGTAACTTTAGCCGAGATACGGAAGTTACGTAGTAGTTTGTCTATGTTACCACCGTGATGTGGTAACTTTGACAAACTACGCGGCGCCTTATAGGGGCTGTTGGAATGGATTTGCTGATGAATCTTGTCACAGCGACTTTTTATTTTAAATAGCACAGGAGCGGTGGCACCGGACTGTGCAATTCAAGTATGAGTCCTACATGTAACTTATACTTGGTCTTATATTCGTTTTTCACAATTATTACAATACGGGGGTCTACGAAGAACGCGTCACAACGTTTCCAATTTAATTTTGATTTTTTCTCTTATAAATCAACTTTTAAAAAATGACAGTATATGTGAACGTCAATGATTTTGTTTCGAAACAACAAGTCAACCTGTAACAAAAGTTTACGTACAGCAACTGCCCATAACAGTCTGTTACGAAACTTTTCCTTTAATCTCCTTGATTTTACAATTCATGATAGTAACCTACGTATATTTTGAAATCTCACAATTTTGTAGTTTAGGACTAATACCGTATTATTTTACGTGTTATATTTTTTTTCACACTTATTACAATATGGGGGCCTACGGGTACTTGTTGTTGAAATTGCGTACCCCGGCAACTACTATAACTGTAGCCGGAGGGTGTTCTAACGTTAGAGCAGGAAGTAATGTTCCAATACGTGGATATCACAAAGCTGTTTGATGTTAACGGTTAAAAAATGTTTTATACAAATATATATATGTTATATATATGAAGAAATTTATAAATAATAGAAACTTAATATTACAACAAAATTTAATCAAAAACTTGAATAATACGAGTTTGTAGGCCGAAATTGCATCGTTAAAATCAATTGTATAGTCGTCTCGTATAAAAAAAACTAATTCTACTATAGTATCTTATCAGTTTAAGCAATAAATAAGTAATAAATATATCCATAGTATATGATAAATAATGAATGGTATATTCGTTTAAATCACTATTTGTCAATACTTTACACAATAAATCAATAGCTTTCACAGTGTAATACCTACAATACAACGTTTACGTAAGTTAAATAAGTAAAAATAAATGATACAACTTTTACGTAAGTTAAAAGTATGTATCAATTACACGCAGAACAAAGAAATCGTCTTTTGAAGGAAAAAATACGTATGAATTAACTTATCCGTTTAGTTCTTTCAAGGTTTGGTTGAGCAGGCGTCGCAGGGGTTCATCGGGCTTCAACACTTTGTGGTGGATTGCTGATTTTATGAGGAGCGCTTTGAACATCGTTGACATGTTGTACTCTGTGTTGATGTAGAACGAGGCGGGGATGATTTGGCGGTAGTGCTGGCGGAAGTACGATATGAAAAGGCACGCTCGTTCCGTTTCATTTTGGGTGACAGTGTTGGAGTTTTTAATACGGAAGTAATATACAGGTGCTTTTTATGACCCATGGAGTTTTTGAACGAATAGGCCCAGCTTGGCTTAAAGTTACGTTGCACCGTTAAACTGGTACTGTTTCTGTTAAACACGAACAACTGAAAATGATCGTCGTGTTTGTACTCTACGTCGATGTTTAGCAGAACTATGCATGAAACTTGTGAAACAGATTTACATTTGGTGACGGTTACTCCCAACTCAAGCCATATAAAGGCCAACATAAACTTCTTGATAGCGATAGTCATCACATATGTCCAGCAAGACAATGTCGCTTTCTCACGATTATTACACGGTGTATATTAGTATTATATGAAAGTAAGACACTGTATACCTGTAGTATATAAAAGTGATGTAATTTATATCAATATATGAAAACAATATACTCATATCTGCAGTATATGTATAAAAAATTATACATTGCATAAGAAAAACTATTTTTGACATGTTTACAATACGTCGATTATTTTAAGGGCGTCTATTGCTTTTACTACGATAATAGCTAGGTGTTCCAAACCATTATTATTGCCGATTTAATTTTTATCGGTAATGTGATTGGAAGGATAACAAAAACCTTTAATAGCAACAAAAAATTTAATGCGAAATTTAAAAACTCGTCTAAAACATGAGAATATGCAAATAAGGTCATGTATATCAGCAAAATATTAAAATAAGATTATGTATACTAGTAATATATGAAAGTTATAAAATATGTATTAGTATTATATAAAAATAATAAATAATAATGTATATCTGTAGTATATAAACAATATATAATGAATATTATTAGTATCTAATATATGAAAATAGTTATTTAATATTAATAGTTTACGTAAAATCATAAGTAAAAACAAAGTAATGCTATATTTGTAATATTTTAACGATTAAAAAAGAGAAATATTTTTATCTAATAAGGACAGTACCCTACCTGCCCCGCTCAGAATCAGCTCAAAATTTTTATATGAATTCTTTGTACCACCAATAGTACCCATAAAAAATTATAACTCGCGCTCTTGAGTTTTAAATTTAAATTATTTGAGTTTCCCGCCAATTTGGCAAATTTGGCATTGCGTTTCAAGCACTTTTCTGGGCTCTCCAGACAAGATACGCTTACAAATTTAAAAATGTAGGTTTATTTCAAGGTATTCTACTAGCATACCAAAGAAAAATGATTAAAATTCGAAAAATGACAAAGTTGTAAGCTTGAAACACAATGCCAATTTGGCAAGAAATTCAATTTAATTTTTTAATCTCAATTTTTTCGAAATTTTCTGGAAAGCGCGATTTAGTACTTTGCTGAAGATCTTATATTTACATGATTTATATATGTTTAATTTCCTAACAAAAATTTAAAAGTAAAAATTTTACTACGAAACACAACACAACTTAAACATTACAAAGCTTGCATGCCTCATAAACATAATAAAAATCAATTATGCAGCAGTATCTTATATAAGCTCTCATTATATTGTTGTATCTTAACAGTTCCAGTAGTAAAAAAATAATAAATATTATATCCGTAGTATATGATAAATATATAAAATAATAGTTTAAGGATATATACATGTAATAAGTTTTAAAAGGGTCATTGTTAAAGAAACAACTGGTCCAAACAAACGTTAAACATCTCATACAAAACGGAACAATATTAGTCCCTGATCACGTTCCCAACACGCTCAAACGTCCCTACCAACAAACTAACAAGTAAATTTTTATTTTATACACATTTTTATAATATAAAAATTTTTTTGCTAGCTACTGGACTCCCAGTCTTGGCATGCACTTTTTAAACTTACATACCCCAGCTTATTAGACCCCTCTTAAAATAACCCCCTAACCTACACCCTACCCTCTCTTTTAGATACCCTCAAACATTTTTTAAAAATTTTAAAATGAAACAAAAACCATAAAAAACCCAAAGTTGGCCATTTTTTGTCATGACCATGAAACAAAAAGCCCGCAACATTTCTACTTTTCCCCCGTTCCGTTCCATTTTTCCCGAAAAAACTAATGTCCCTAAAAACAGCTGCCCTTTCTCGTATGAAACACCATTTCAAATGTTCTTTTGCTGTAAATAAATAGCAATATTTTTTTAGGGTCAGAGAAAATGAAAAAAAAAGTTTAACTGATAGTTGTCATTCAATTTTTTATAGTTTTTGCAAAAAAACAGTAACAATGAGTTGAGGCTAACTAATCTAAGCCTAAGAGAAGCCTAAGCTACGCCTAAGCTAAGCCTAAGCTAAGCCTAAACTAAGCCTAACCTAAGCCTAAGCTAAGTCTAAGCTAAGCCTAAGCTAAGCCTAAGCTAAGCCTAAGCTAAGCCTAAGCTAAGTCTAAGCTAAGCCTATACAATTTTAATTGATCAGGTCGGAATTGCACGGTTTCCTCGTGTTTGAATCAGTCGTTCAGGTGGCCACAACTCTCTGTACTTTGTCGGACTCTCTACGATATCAATCTTGAGTCAATACAGGATAAAGTAGTAAATCCAATTCAATAAACAATAACTGGTTTATTAGAATAATGGCAAATAACTTTAGATAACAAGTAGTAAATAAAGGTAGACGCTGTGCTAAGCGATAGAACACTGAACCCAGCTTTACAACAATAATTTACCTTGATATCAATTAGTCAACAACAACAATATTCTCTCCTTTTTTCGAATAATAATAATATTCAAATCTCTCTCTCTCGAATTATTTACCGTAGAAACCCGCGTCAGTGCACAACGCCAAGATCGCGTTGTGACCGAACGACGGCGGCAATTCAAAGCGAGAAGGTAGAGTGAGAGTTGACACAATGGGTCAAGTATAATATTATAATAATAAAATATAAATCCTCGGAGAGATCCGATGGAATCGGACAAAGCCTAAGCTAAGCCTAAGCTAAGCCTAAGCTAAGCCTAAGCTAAGCCTAAGCTAAGCCTAAGCTAAGCCTAAGCTAAGCCTAAGCTAAGCCTAAGCTAAGCCTAAGCTAATAAGCAAAACCTAAAGGCTGCGTATATGTTGAGTACGAAGATAAAATTTGTTTTCGGCGCGGCTTTTAAATTTGAAAGAAAATCGACCACAATTTCTTTGCAAATAAACAACGCGCTGACGAAAAGCACGCGCTCGAGAGACCCCAGCCCTACTATGTACCACCTCAAACTGAACCTCCAGTTTGATCGGCGAAAGCCGACCAACTGGAGAGCCCAGCCGAAATGGTACATTTCGAAGCTGGTTTCGCGCCGCCACCGTTCCAAAAACTATTGCAAATCCGACCGATGTCATCACTGCCAATCCCTTTCTATTCATCCGGCACAGACGGTGTATTAAGCTGCTTTCTGAAGGCAGCGCCAAGGACACCTTTGCCGAGATCAAGACATGGGAATTGGAGGTATAGACACGGTAGAGACACAATTTGTTTTTGGAACGCGCACCACCCCACCCGCGCTCAGCGACTTCAGAAGTTTTACTAAAATCTAGACTTTCGGTCGTTTTTCCTTGGGATACCCTGCCCTTGGAGCAGAATATACTCTTAAGAATATACTCAATCATCGTAGGTGTAGCGTTTTTGAGCGAAAAAAATTTTTGGGCAAAAAATTAAGAATTTCCCAGGACCCACGCCGACCTTATTCTAGACTACAGTAATTTTTCTGGTTCTCTACTCCCCCCCCTCCCCCCCCCCCCCCTTACTTACCTTATTGTTCCTCCACACCAGTTCTCCCTTCTTCTCAACCAGTTCTCTCGCTTCTTCTCCATAGTGCTTCGTCTCCACCAGTTCTCTCGCTTCTTCTCCATCGTGCTTCTTCCGCATTGTGCGCGAATTGCATCATCTGAAAATAAGTCAATGTTAGTAAAAAAAATAAACAAAAAATAATAATAATCTCGAGTGATTACACATATCGTTTCTCAACGTTTCGCAATAACTAACAAAAAAAAATTTTTTAATTAAAAAAAATTGAAAAAATTAAAAAATTAAAAACCATATATTAAATAATTTTTGCCCTTATCCCTCATTATCCTTCCCCCCCCCCAACCCCCTTCCTGTCCCGTCTCCCCAAAAAAATAGACCCAAATTAGTCACCGTACCCCAAGAACTACTTAAATAAAAATAAACTATTTTATGTGTATTAGTATATAGTTTAGTTAAGCGTTGTTTTATTAAGCCTAACGCGTTACTTTACAATTTATGTGCAGTATAGGCTTAATTAACCTTAATTTTTTTTTTCTACCCTACCCTACCCTACCCTACCCTACCCTACCCTACCCTACCCTACCCTACCCTAACCTACCCTACCCTACCCTACCCTAACCTACCCTACCCTACCCTACCTTACACCTCCCTGCCCTACCCTACCCTACCCTACCCTACCCTACCCTACCCTACCCTACCCTACCCTACCCTACCCTACCCTACCCTACCCTACCCTACCCTACCCTACCCTACCCTACCCTACCCTACACTACCCTACCCTACCCTACCCTACTCTACCCTATCCTACTTTACCCTACCCTACTTTACCCTACCCTACCCTACTTATATTTATATTTATTCAGTCTTATTTGTGACTCACTCTTTAATTCTTTTAATAATTGTTTGTTTGTCCTTTCATTTAAAGTTTTTCCGTTTAAAATCTCACGTTTCCCTTTTTTAAATTAAACTTTAAAATCGTTTGTTTGCCCAAATTGGCCTAATTTTTGTTTCTTTCTGCTTCCTACAGTTTTTTGCCTTTCAACGGACGGTTCTCCTAATCTTTTATTTTGTTACCTATTTCAAGCTTGATTTTTAAAGCTATTTTTGTTTATTTTTCAAATTTTAGTTCTACAATTTGGCTAAACAGTCTTGTTTTAGGGGTCTAAACGGTTGGCTTCTTGAAATTATAGCTATTTTCTACAAATTTTTAAGTTGGCCCGCCCAACTTTTATCTAAAATTGAACTTTATTTTATTTTCTGATAAAGACTGCCTTGTTCTGGTTTATAATCATAAGCTTTGTTTTATTCTAAGACCATTAGTTGTTAAAAATCATTTCTTTTTCGATTAAAAAAAGTAGGTGCTTTTTAATGAAGTAATTGGTTTTTACAATGAACGCTTCTTCTTCAAATACGTACCAACATCTGATCGACGTAGGTTTTGTAAATATTTTTATATAGTCAAATATATTTATAGAAATGGAATTTTTGGTTATTAAAACTCATAAAAGTTCAAAAATAATAATTTTTTAGTTTTGAAATTTTAATTTTTTTAAATTTTTTTGTTATAAATTTTTTGATTTTTAACGCATAGGGAGAAGTGGGTATTGTACGGTAAGGTAGAGAAAAATAGGGCAGGTTACTAAAATAGTAAAAAAAAATCACAGAATTGTCGTTTTTGGTCAAAAACTTCAAAGAAAAATTAAAAATCAAATTTTTTTTATTTCAAAATTTCATTTTTTTCAAATCTTTTATTTTTTCAGATTTTCAGTTACCTAGATGAAAAATCTTTGCGTTCTTTACAGCTAACTTCGAAGTGCACTAGAAAGGTCATAAATAGGCATTTTGACTACATAAATCGACCAAACTTGGAAATCGTCCAAATTCGACAATCTGAAGACCAAATTCAATGCAGATGTTTACATAAAAACGGAAAAAGCAAAACCTTTGAAACAAATCAGTTATCAGTAAGTTGGAGATAAGCGTATTAGAGAGTTTATCATATCTTTTAAAGAAGCTTATGAGAGAAGGAGTGTAACATATGAAATTATTTTTGCAAAATTTCGTAGTTTAGCAAAATCAATATTTTTTGTGAAATTTTGTTAAAACAGCAAATTCAATCAGACAAACAATTAAAAAATGACCACTTTTTAAAAACCAATACTATTTGTGACATTTCGTCAAAAACCAAATCTGTTGAAAAATTCTCTTTATATTCCAGTTAACTTATAGGCCGCTCTAAAATGGCTATCACCATTGATTCACAATGCTGAAATTCGTTTATTAGTGCTAATGAAAGTGAAATTATGTGAAGTGGCATTTTCACAGCTAGCCGGCTGTTTGCCGTTTCATATCAAACAGTTGAGTATGACAGGAGTTGACTTTTTGCACACATCACCAATTACATTTGAAAACCTACTGAATTTAACCTTTAAAGCTGATAGGTACTTGTTTGGTTGTGTTAGGAATGTGGCTAGTGCGCATTTTAATTCACAATTGTTGGATAGTAAGGCTTTTGTAGATGCTGAAATGGTATGTTAAAATTTTATTCAATTTTGTTTTGGAATGGCAAACAATGTTTTTTTGTCATTTAAACACTGCCATTTTGTTAGATCTTTTGGTAATTTTGTGACACTTCGTTACATTTTTTCAATAATTTTTTGGCATTTCGTCAAGTTTGGTATTTTTTTAAATTCCTTTTCTTTTTAGATAGACATAGATGTGTTATCATTTCAAGAATTTTCATTGCCTTGTTTGGCAGTCTATGAATTATCCCTTATAAACTGGTTTTTCAACTGTAATACTGACAAAAGCCGAACATTAATTAGTAACCGGCTTTGCTTAGGACCTTTTTTCTTGGCTGAGGTTATTAATGTAAGGATATTACACTACTTTTAAATATTTTTAAAATGTTAGCTTACCAAAGTGTAAAAATAATTAAACGAATTTTGAACTTGTTAAATATAAATACACATCCCTAATTTTTAAGACCTTCAAAACCGAAACAAAGCCAAAACCAGCTCAAATGGTACTATGCGGTCGTATCGTGCAGTGTACAGAATCTTACAAACATTTAATGTTTAATAGAAATGGAAAGACAGTCGTAGCCGTACGAAATAATGACACTTTGGAAGAATTAGTAGTGGCGATCTGGTCATCAGCCGACAAAGTTGAAATTACCCGAAAGGATATTGACAACAATAATGAAGTTAAGCGACTACGGCCGGTTGGCCAGGCTGTGCGATAAAGCAACTTTGTTTATGTTTGACATTAATACTGTAAAATTAAGTTTTACTTTAGTATTGTAACATTAAGTTTGACATTTCTACTGCAATCTTTTATTGTTATGTGTTTTAAATAAACCTAATATAAATACGATCTGGTCTAACACATTATACATCTGCTAAAAATAAAGTAAGTTTGTTGGCTAAAGATCAAGGCTGCAGTGATTACTCGAAAAAAAAAGTTTTTAAAGGTGCCAGACTTTGTCATAGAAGATCTTGCACCTTTTAAGCTTCTGTTGCCTTTATAATGCTAAAAAGTTTTAGTACTAATCGCAATGTTATTTCGCTCAAGACTTCTGGTAACTAATGTTCTTGCTTTTTTAAATGCAAAGCGAGGTCCATTTTATGATGATTATGTTTGATATCCAATTACTTATCGATTTTATATGATTATGTTTGATTTCCAAATGCCGGTCGATTTTATATGATCATATTTGATTTCCTTTGATGATTATGTTTGCTTACCAAAAACATCTTGATTTCTACCGATTTGATATCATTGGGGCTTGCTCACCTATAAAAAGTAAAATAAATAGAATAACCTCATTTTGCTCAGAAAGTTATAATTTTTTACCTAGTATTTAACCTACATTTTCGCGCCTAGTTAGCTTTAAGTTTTCGTTTTTTAAATAAAAAAATTATGTCATCTTGATAGCCATTCCCTATAATACAAATCTGTAGTGTAAAATTTCATCAAAAAACACGAAAGATAAACAATCTCCAGCGCCTTCACCTGGTTTCGTGGCATACAAAAAAAGAGAAAAAGAAAACGATGGTTCTGATTAAAATCTGCGATAACCTTGCTCGGCGTCTACAGAGGACTTTGAGGCTTTTAAGTTACATTCGGATTGTTTTTGGGAACTTTTGGGGAAATTTTATGGCTTTTTAAAGGGTTTATGGGGTGGAAAAGTGAAAGTTTAAATCAGTTTTACAGTAATTTTGAGGGATTATTAATATTGCGGCATTTTAAATGTTTTTGAGAATTTTATATAAGTTTTTTTATTATGTAGCTTATCCTTGACATAAGCTTAAGCTTGGGCTTAAGCTGATAGTAGGCCTTAGGCTTACGCTTTGTTTGGGTGTGGGCTTAAAATTAGGCTTAGACATTGACTTAGACTTACGCTTACGCTTGGCTTTTGTCTTAGGCTTAAGTTTGGGATTAGGCTAAGCTTGGATTTGAGTTTAAGGCTTGAACTTAAATTTCGACGCAGTTTTTTACGTAGGCTCAGGCTTAAACTTAGGTTTAGGCTTTGCTTAGTTGGGTCGTTTTAAAAATAGTTTTCTAGTTGAAAAACAAGAATTTTTACACAATTTTAAAAGAATTCGTTTTTATTCAGATCTTCTTCATAAAAATCGTGGATTTTGTTAAATTTCAATCAGTTTTCTTGTTATCGAATGTGAGCCTATATATATGAAAAGCTTTTAAAAATCACTTTTTTAGTTTTTTTAAAAGCTATAGTCTTTAAAAACATTTTACTAAGCATTTTTTAATAACCGATAACCGAAAATTTTATTTTTTAAGACTAAAACTTATCGACCGGTCGATTTTCAAAAATCTAAAAATTTTAAAAATTATTGTCAAAAAACCTTCTTTTATAGTAAAAATTACCGAAGATGCTATGTCACCTTCTTTTTGTTGTGTTTTTCGAACCCTTTCGTAGCAAAAATACTTTGAATACCTTCAAGTGGGTATTTAATTTGACCCCTCAATTATTTTTCGGCGTTGGTTTGGGATTCTGTTTAATATTCTTGCTTCAAAAAATCTGTATTTGTGTTTGGGAATGGCGTGAAGAGCAGTGGGATTTGTTATTGATATCTGTTTTTATGATTTCTGGATATTTGACGAAATGTCACAAAAAGTATTGGAAAATGGTCAATTTAACAGAGTGAAAAAGGTCACTTTAGTTAAGTACTATATAGTTTAAATTTTTTAGTAAGAGCAAACTGGACATCCTTTACGAATCTTTGCAATTTTTGGGAAGTTGACGAAATGTCACAAAAGTTATTGGAAAATTGGTCATTTTAGCTTAGTAATATATAGTATAAATTGTTTATTAAACGTAAATTGTACGTATTTTACATTTTTTGAAAAAAAATTAAAATTTGACGAAATGTCACAAAAACTATTGGAAAAGTGGAAGAAATGTCACAAACTAAAAAACTCGAAATTTTGTTTTTTGATTAAAAAACGTACAAGATTATCACAAATAGTGTATTTTTAAACTCATTTTACGTTTTTAAGGTAATGACCGAGCCAATAATTGAAGATGTCATTGACGTTGTTGATCGACCTATAGGATATCAAAAGTATGGGCATGGAAAACATTACATCTTGGGTATATGTGGGGCTGTTGGTAAGGAGAAAAACTAAATTTAACAAAAATTTTTTTAATTTTTTATATATAATTTTTTGACTGGAAGCCTGATGGAAGATTTTCAAGGTATTTTGCACTGAAAATCTTCCACAAATCTTACATTTCAACTTTTTGAAATTTTGAGTCATATGACATTGTTAATAAGATATTTATAGGTTGTTACAAAAAAGACTGGCCAGAACAAGCGCTTCAAGCTTTTGACGCATCAAAGTACACGATTGTTTGTCTGGACCCGCCCGGTTACGGTACCAGTCGGCCACCTGATCGTGTTCAAGAAGTCACACGATGTAAACAGGACGCCAAGTACTGTATTGAGCTTATGAAGGTGAGTAATATGTGTTAAAGCTAGCTCTAGCCTAGAGCCCAAGCCCAGAGCCCTAGCTCAAAGCCCTAGCCCAGAGCTCTAGCCCAGACCCCTAGCCCAGAGCCCTAGCCCAGCGCCCTAGCCCAGAGCCCTAGCCCAGAGCCCTAGCCCAGAGCCCTAGCCCAGAGTCCTAGCTCAGAGCCCTAGCCCAGAGTCCTAGCACTGCTTAAAAAAAGTTACAGTAATCTTTTTACAGAAGCTTCAGCTAACGCCATTTTGTGTGATGGGTTGGAGTGAGGGCGCACGAACATCGGTTCATGTCGCTCAACAAGGGCAGAAACTGGTTGATCGTGTTGTTCTCATGGCGGCAAGTACCCGGGCGGATGCACGCGGAGATCAAGGATTTCAAGGTAGGGTGGGAGGACTAAGCATGTTTTTAGGGTAGGGTAAAGTAGGGTAGGGTAGGGTAGGGTAGGGTAGGGTAGGGTAGGGTGGGGTAGGGTAGGGTAGGGTAGGGTAAGGTAGGGTAGGGTATGTATTACTATTTTTATATTGTTTTAGGTATCAAAGACACTGACTTATGGACAAATGAAATGAGGGACAAGTACCTGAAGTTCTGCACAGATGACTTTTTAAAGGTCCAATGGGCAGCTCTGTGCGATGTTATACATGAGTAAGCATTTTTTTAAATTAAAGTAACTTTTTAAACTTATAAAAAAATTTTGAATTTTTTTAAAAATTTTTAAATTTTTTTGAAATTTTTAAATTTTTAAAAACTTTTTTAAAAATAAAAATCATGATATTGATGAATTACAGAGTATTCACAAACTATAGCGGTCGATTTCCATCGGATCTCATCCTTCATTCTATCAAACAACCAGTATTGTTGACTTACGGAGGCGCTGATAAATTCATTATGGATCAGAAATACTTCAAAACTAAAATTCCGCATTTGAAGTAAGCTTTTATCTTATTTTTTGTGTAAAATACGAAAAAGCAAAAGATGGAGGGAGGTGGTTTTAAAGATTTTTTAAAAAATTAAAATTTTTTATGACTTTTTAACGAAACATAGGAAAAAGCACCGTTTACCGTAATAAGCGTAAGGCGGCGTAATTGGCGCTGGGAGCATAGGAGGGGAGGGAAGGGGGGTGTTTTTTTTTGATTTGGGATTGGTGATCTTCTTCCAGAGTCTCGTGTTTTTTTATATTATCCTGCCCTACCCTACCCTATTCTACTCTACCTTACCTCTACCGCTATCTCTGCCCCTATCTCTACCCTTATCTCTACCACTACATTTACGCCAGAGCTCTAGTCTAAACCCTCCCCCTACGCTTCTTTTAACCTATCTACAAAAAATTACATTTCGTTCACATAGTATTGATTTTTTGCAATTCAATCATACCTAACCGTAATTTTAAACCTACCTTAATGTAAAATACTCAGTGAGGTGTCAGGTCATAATTTGTTAAAAATTTTCAGAGAAGCAGTCCACATGACCGGAGGGCATGAGTTCTACGTCCAAGCGCCAAGATGGTTCGCTCTTCGCATAAACGAGTTTTTCAAAGAGACTGGAGCTCAATTTTAATTTGAACTTCTTAATTGATAACTATTTATACTTTTGTTATAAATGGGATATTACTATACCTATCGCTTTTCTATGCTATATAATAATAAAGCTACTGCGTGCTGTACTGTTATCTTCGTATGCTGTATTTTCAAAAGCTTTACTATACTGTGATTTCAATTTTTTACCTTTAGTTCTATTAACTTAACATTAATTTTTTACATTTTTACTTGATATTTATGCATTTTCAACTAACAATTTTGTTTTTAAAAGCTTTAGACGACTTACTTTTGCTAACTTTAACCTTTTCAAGTATTCGTTGTGGGACTCAAGCTATTTTTCATTCAATTTTTTGTGCTCTTTATTGGTCAATAGCGCTTTTTATCAATTTATGAGCATACTACTAACTACCTCATTTAAGTAAATAACCAGTTTTCAGGTTTTTGCGGTGAAAAAAAAATTTTCAAACTTTACAAAGTGGCGACATAAAGAACCCGCCATACTTTTCCTGTAATTTCCTGTAAAATATGGTGAATTCATTATGTCGGCACCAGGGCCGGGCGCGAGGGGGGGGACTTCGAAAAAATTTGAAACGTGGTCCCCCTGTGGATTTTTGGGAAAAAAAAATTCGCAAAAAAAATCGGCACAGGTGCCGATTTTTTTGGACCCCTGCCCCCAGATTAAAAGTCCCCGCCCGGCCCTGGTCGGCACCTAATATTTTTGGAAATATTGTTATTTTTCAGTTGATTAGTTTTTTGCTAACTATGTAGTGATTATTTTTTATATTTTTTAAGCATTTTTAAATTTTCACGTTTTCGTGGTGGAACTCACTTTTTACAAAATTTTTTATTTTTTTATAAATTTATGTTATATTAACTATGTAAAACTAGTTCTTTAATAATTATAGTTTTTTTTGTTGGATTTTAATGTTTTCGTGGTGGGACCCATTTAATTTTTTCACTATTATTTTCTTTGTTTTTAACGTTTTTATATTATTAGTAATTATGTTTTGCGTATTTTACAACTTTGGTTAATTTTTCATACCTTTTTATTCATTGATTTTTTGAATTTTTGTTTGCCCGCCAATTTTAAAATTTGAATTTTTTGGTAAAATACGTATTTTTACAAGCCGCTTTTACAAAAAATAATGAAAACAAAATTTTGATATTGTATTAGTGTATGAATTTTAATTTTTTATCATTGTTTTACTCATTTTGTTACAGTAACCTATTATAATAATACAAAGCTACTCGATCATTGCCATTACTGCAACTTACTGTAACTGGACATAAAATTTTGATGTAAAATAAACTGCTTTTAGGCCAAGCAATGTCCATCGAACAGATCGACACGATCGAAGAGAGGATTCTGGAGGACTACGCCGAGATTGACGATGTTAACATAGGCTACGAGCGCTACGGTCATGGTCCAAACTACATTCTGGGCATTTGTGGAGGTTGTGGAAGCTACAAAAAAGACTTTCCAGAACAAGTCCTTAGGGCTTTTGACCCGAATTACTTTACGATTGTGGCGATGGACCCGCCTGGGTATGGGAAAAGCCGCCCGCCGGCTAGAAATCAGGAAATCAACCGGTGCAAGAAGGACGCCAAGTACGGTATTGGGCTTATGAAGGTACGGTAGATAAAAGAAATTTAAAGATAGATGAAAAATGGCAAGAACTTCCTATAAAAAACAAAAAATGGCAAGAACTTTCTTTACAAAACACAAAATGGCAAGAACTTGCTTTACAAACACAAAATGGCAAGAACTTTCTTTCCACCTCCTAAAATGACATTTCTTTTCAGCACCTAAACCTAGTACCATTTTGCGTACTAGGCTGGAGTGAAGGTGCCCGTACCTCCATCCACGTCGCTCATCAAGGCAAAGATGTGGTGAATCGAGTGATTGTGATGGCCGTGACGACCCGAGTCGATCCTCGAATCGACCAAGCTTTTTTGGGCACAAGAAACACCGACCATTGGCTACCAGAGACCTTGGAACCTTACACTAGACACTACCCAGAAGACTTTGTTCGGGTCGAATGGGCTGCCGTCTGTGATGTTGTTCACAAGTAAGTTATCCTACCTACCCTACCCTACCCTATTCTACCCTACCCTACCCTACCCTACCCTACCCTACCTTACCCTACCCTACCCTACCCTACCCTACCCTACCCTACCCTACCCTACCCTACCCTACCCTACCCTACCCTACCCTACCCTACCTTACCCTACCCTACCCTACGCTATCCTACCCTACCCTACCCTACCCTACCTTACCCTACCCTACCTTACCCTACCTTACGTTAGGTTATTTCTTACTGTACTGTATATTACTATACTTTACTCTGCCCTTATATAAGTCACAATCATACCGTACTTTACCATATTCTCACTATAGCCTACAAATGCTTTAAAACTCCTTCTTCTGCCCTCACTTCTAGTGTTACCCTATCCTAGCTTTTCCCTGCCCTTACTCATCGCCTTACGATGCTCTAGCGCCTAGCTTTACCCTACCCTACCCTAACTTTTTAATCAAGCCCTACATTTACACCTGGCCTTACCCTAACTTCATCATATACCCTGCCCTACCCAAAACTGTATTTTCAATTTTCAGAGTATATGAAAACACTGCTGGTCGTTTCCCATCTGATCTTGTCTTGCACACCTTGAAGCAGCCAATGCTCAATATCTATGGAGGAAAGGACCGCTTCATCATGGACCAAAAGTACATGCAGGAGAAGGTTCCTACTATTCGGTAAGTGATTGATTTAAAATGTATTTAGGCAATCTTTTTTACTCTTTTTTCTTAAAAATTTTTTGGAAACTAAGTTTTTGTTTTGTAAAGAAAGTTCTTGCCGTTTTTTGTTTTGTAAGGAAAGTTCTTGCCTTTTTTTGTTTTGTAAAGAAAGTTCTTGACATTTTTTGTTTTGTAAAGAAAGTTCTTGCCATTTTTTGGTTTGTAAAGAAAGTTTCTTCATTACATTTTCAAAAGCATCATTTCAGCACGGCCGTTCACGCTCAAGGCGGCCACGATTTCTACGTCAAGTATTCCAGATGGCTAGCCATGAAGGTGACGCAGTTCTTCAAGGAAACCTCTCAGGAACTTAAGGCTTCATTGTAATTTCAATAATTTTTAAAATTATTTTCAAAAATGCATCATAATGACGTTTACAAAAAATATGTCATCCTTTTTTAAAATTTTTTATTTTTTTTTTCAATTTATGTCCAGATTTTCGGCCAGGCGGTTGACAATAAATTTTTAATTGATTTTTTTTCATTTAATGGGTAGGGCGAGGTAGGGTAGGGTACGTCCAGCTAAAGTAAGAGTAGATAGGTGTAGTACTGTAAAGCTTAGCGGAAGTACTGTAGGGGCTTAACAAGAGTACTGTAGGAATAGCGATACTGCAAGGCTTACGGTAGGAGGCAAGAGTAGGGGTAAGAATAGGATGGGGGTAAGGTAGGGTTGGATAAGGTAGGGTAGCCAACGGTAGTGTAGGGTAGCATACGGTAGGGTAGTATACGGTAAGGTACGGTAGGTTAGGGTAGGGTCGGCTAATGTCAGAGTAGTTAAGTATGATACTGTAAGGCTCAGTAGAAGTACTGTAGGGCAATTTTAATGTGAGGTAATGGTTGGAAGGATACTGTAGAGGCCCAGAAAGAGTACTGTAAAAATGGGGATACTGAAGGGCCTACTGTAGGGGAAGGGGTATAGTAGAGGTAGGGGTAGAAGTAGGGTTAGGGGTAAGGATAGAGTAGTAGGGTCAGTTTAAAATGGCAGAGCCCTTAAATTTTAATTTTTATTAAATTCTAAAATACGAATTAGACTAATGGGACCTTTCCTTCAAGTAAAAGTTTTAAAAAATGATTATGAATCCTCGTCTGAGTCCTGAAGATCGTCAGGGTGGATTAGTGGGTATTGAGGTGAGGTATTACTGTAGAGACCGGTATCTTCTTCGTCCGACTCGGCGCTTGTGATAAGGCCCAGTTTTTGGCCCAGATCCGCCAAATCCGGCCGATTGATTTGTTCGGGCAGGTCGGTCGGCTTTATTGGGCCGAGTTTTTCGATTTCTTCGGCCGTCATGAAGCTAAAATACGGTTATTTTAAATTTTTAAGTTTTTAAAATTTTTAAAATGACAACTCAAAAAGCATTAAAACTTCGATTAAACACCCTTTACCCCTTTGTTAATAAAAAGTCGATTTTAATACAATTTTAAACTTTTCATGTTTTCGTGGTGGGACCCAAAATTTTTGAAAACTCTTAAAAATAAGTATTGTTGATTCTAAAGCTACCAAAAATACCATTTATAAACCTTAATATGCTTGTTATAAGCCGATTTTTGCCTTTTCAGGTTTTCGTGGTGGGACCCAAAAATTTCAAAAATGCTTAAAATAGCTATTTTTAATTCTGAAGTAATCTAAAATAACATTTATTATCCTTAGAATGCATTAAACACAAATTTGCAGTCAATTTTATGTTTTTTTTTCGTGTCGGGACCCAAAAATTTTTCTAAAAATCTCAAAACCCTATAAAACCACCCCAAAAATTTCAAAGTCGTACCGATCTTCCAAAAATCCCGGATTTCGTTCCATAAATTGCTTGTGCAAACTTATCGACCGGTCGATTTCACCGGTTTCCGTTTGATATTCCAATCGATTGCCATCTGTTTCCACATGATGTAAATGTGCTACTAGCAGCTTTAAATCATTTGGAATGACAAAAGTTTTGCATCTAGCCAAATTGAAAAAGTCGGGGATTACGGTAGGAGAAGAGTAGTCGAATCTGGTTACTATGAATTTGGCCAAGTTGGCTCGACTTAAATTTGAATTGCCATTTTGAGATGGAGTAGTTGAGTTGTTGCTGAAGATGGGAGCGGTATTTGTTATACGACTTACTGCCTGAAAGGGTTTTGTTACAGTATACCAAGTCTACCCCTGCTCTACCTACCCTATAGTACGCAACCTTACCCTACCGTACCCTACCATACCCTAATCTACCGTACCCTACCATACCCTAACCTACCGTACCTTACCCTACACTACCCTACCCTACCCTACCCTACCTTCGCCTACCCTACCCTACCTTCGCCTACCCTACCCTACTAAGCCTACAGCAACTTAAGTACCGTACCATAGACATTACCGTATCCAAGAGTCTATCGTACTATAGACCCTACTCAGTCCCACATTAGCTTAGAACATCCTTACCTACCACACCCTAGGCTAACCTATCTTACCTTACCCAACCCACCCTAGGCTACCCTACCCTACCTTATCTACCCTACCCTCCCAACCAAATCATCGTCCTCAAAAATCCACCGTAACCTACCGTAATCACCAAGAACAGTGCACTATTGAACAAATCCGGGTACGGCCTTCTCTGCCGCATTTGTTTCCCATTCATAAGTTGTCGACAAGCCTCCGAGAAGACTACGATAACATAGTCGCAGTCATCAATATGTTGTTGTAGCCACACCGACGGCCGAACATTCGGATCGGCTAGATCGAACTGGTCCAAATGCACTTGTGCATTCGCATTCTGCCTCAAGAAATGTGCCAGCTGAGCTACAGCGTCACTGTGAGATTCAGAATCGTCCGAATAGACGATTAGTAGCTTCGGCGACTCCTGCAACTCGAATTGTTGCGCCGGTCGCCGACTGAACAACTTTGGACGAATGAACTTGATATAGATGACGAGGACAACGGCTGATATGCACAATATGATTATAATACCTAAAAATTTTTTTTAAACTTTTTTTGGCAGGAACTTTCTTTACAAAATGTAAAATGGGCCGAACTTTCTTTACAAAACAGCAAATAGCAATAACTTTCTTTACAAAACAGATATGGCAAGAAATTTCTTTACAAAACAAAAAATGGCAAGAACTTTCTTTACAAAGTGAAAAATGGCTTTACAAAACCAATTTTATTGTCCAAATCAGCCATTTTAAACCCAAAACCCCGTGAGACCCCTCTAGAATACAATTTTAAAACCTCTGTTACCTAAAATATCAAGAAATCTTAACTTTGTTACCCAGAATCCATCAAAAAATGCAAAAACTTCTGCAGGAAGTGGGATTCGAACCCACGCATCGATAACGATACTAGAAGGCTCCGAACCGTCGGGTTGCGACGAAGCTGTTTCGCTTGAGTCTAGCGCCTTAGACCACTCGGCCATCCCTGCACGCTTCGTTTCCTCTTTGTTTTCGTTTTGAATCGCTTAAGGAAGGGAAAGGAAGGGTTTATAAGGTTTTAGGGTGGATTTTGGACGGTTTTTACTGTTTTTGAAAGAATGTTAAAAAATAATGGCAGAAAATTAATTTTTAGGCTAAAAAATATAAAAATATAGTTTTTCTGTTCAAAAAATGGCTAAAAATCTAATTTTCAAAAAGAAAAATAAAAAAATTTTTTCCAAATAGAAAAACATAAAAAGAACTTTCTTTACAATTATCAAAACTTTCAAGTTTTTGCAAAAAAACATTTAAAAAAAACTTCAAAACGTACCAATCAAAACCGTCAACGAGCTTTTCGCCGCGTTAACCAACGGTCGTATCCTCTTCCAAGTCGTAGTAAACTTATTCTCACTCAGAGTAAAATTGAGCATAGTATACAGGCAAATCTCACAACCATCATTATTGCAATGTAGCTCGCAATTGTGGCGTTTTACATAGCCTACAACCACGTATTCGCCTTTTTCTAGGTTCTGGGCCTTGATTCCGGTCGATAAATCGCCTTGTACCGATCTAGCAAATCTTCGACCGGTCGATAAATGGGCTTTCTTAGATAGAGCAGGTTGTTGGCTTTCAGATGAGACCAAATTTGTGTAAGTATCGTCAGTTTTACCGGTCAAAAAATCAATCTTCCCTCGATCAACAACTTTTTGGCTGCCCAAACTTCTGGCGCTTCTTTTACCGGTCGATTTCGTGTTAACCACCATCTTTTTGATTAACTTGATCTTATCACCTTCTTTGGAGTACAAATTCAAGTTAATGTCCAAAACTTTGGCCGCTTTCGGCGGTTCTTCGTATCTTATCCATATGCCATCTGATGGTGTGGTATCGACGAATAGGAAAGGTGACCATTGTTCGTAGGACTTGCCCTGGGGATCATCTTGGTCAAAAGCATTGTAGATTCGAGGATCGTACCGATTGTCCCGAGGCATGGTTAAGAAGAGCTCGGTGCGACAGTTTTGGGGGCGTATCGCCACCGTTACCATATATTGTGATTCGCCGTAGAGGCGAAAACAGTTGACATCTGCTCGGAATTCGGCCTGGAAATGATAGTATAAGGATATACTTTATCCATTTCTTCATGTACCCCTAGATTGTGCAGCTTTTTTCAAATTTTAGGTAACATTTTTTCAAAATTCTTTTAAACTTACAGCACTGTCGTTGACAATAAACCCTCGACAAGGCTCAACCAGCTCTCCGTACTTATTGAGTTGGATGTCCTTGTCATGACAATAGTTGTCTGTTTGATCTGGAGCATGTAGGCAAGAGTAAAAGAAGAAGATCGACTCGGCTGGCTTCAAAACATTCGCACTCATGTTAAGGCGAATGAATGGAAGACTGGAAACAAAGTTTTTGACATTTTTTCGACAAATTTAAGGAAACTTTTAGTTATAATAAGATAGTTTAATATTTTAGCTGTGAAAGAAGTTCATTTTCAAGGTAGTGTACGTTCGTAATGGAGCCAAAAAACGATTGCTTTAGGTATCAACGCCTATTTTAATGGCTAGAATTATATTTCTCACACAAAATCGGGCAGAAAACCATTGTTTTAGGTGTCAAATCCTCTTTCAAAAGCCGAAGAAAGACATTTTCTTCAACGATAATCCCAAAAACTATAATTTTAGGTAACAATCCATCGAAATCCAAGTCCAAAACACCATTTTCGTTGTCAAATCAGCCTAAACTCCGCAAAAATCGACAAAATTAAATTACTCACAAGTGTTTATCAGCTGGAAACACCGTCTCCGTGAACAACGACACATCCAGCTGCTGCTCATTACACTTTCGATACGATTTCCATTCGTTATTCAACAAATCTTTGCAAGTTTTCGAGCTGCGCACCTCGCTATACCCAATATCATTGGCGGATTCGAACAAATAATCGCATTTCGTGGCCCCCAAAACGCCTGCGGCCATTAAAGTAAAGCTGAGCAGATAGAGATACATGGTTTACGTGAACAACAAAATCAACAATAATATAAAAGGGCCTAATAAATGGTGATTGCAATGTCAAGTAGCTGATGGTACTGACAATTTGGTGTTGTAAGTACACAAAACAGCCCAATTGGTACGATTAAGTAGTACCCTTAGGCTTGAGCTTGTTGGGGTTCTTCTACTGGCTCTTCGGCCACCTGTTGAACATTGTTTTTGGCTTCTTTCGCTCGGATAAAGGTTTTTGGATGAATTGGAAGCAAACCGGCTAGACCTAAAAGAAATTTAATGAATGTTACTTAAATATATAATAATATCCAAAATTTAGTCTTATAATCTAAAGAAACTAAAAAATAAAATCAATTTCTCATTAAAACAGCAAAAACTAAGCAGAAAGTTATGGTGTAGTAAACAGAATGCCAAAATCAAAGCAAAACATACCCAAAAGCTCAAGAACAGGCACTGATACTCTAGCTTCACGTTCTCCTAGCCAGTATTTTATCCTTCCAATATTCAAAGCCACCAACTTCTCGTTTTGCAAATTTGGCAACGGATCAAACGTCCCGACCTAAAATAAGGTTTTTTGTAAGTAAAACATCAAGTTAAAGATCAAATTGTAATATTTAAGGTCAATCGTAAGCTACACTTCTTTTTTACACCAAAAAACCTATTTAGTAATTTGGACTCACTATAAAAACTAGCTATTTGTAAAGACACATTTTTGCTACCTATGATAATATGCTTTTGCTCATAACTTTTTCCAAACCCAACGCAAACGCTAAAACTATGTAAAAAAACTTTTCCATAATCTTTTCCTTCTTTTAAGTTCAAAACTCCTTCATTCCATTACCTAAAACCCAATAAAATAAAGGTATAACACCCACCTGTTCAATAATACTATCCTCGTTCCGGCGACCCAACTTCGGATCCGGAAATATGCAAATTCGATAGAATGGCCGATTCGTGCACCCAAACAGTGCCAAGCCAATAGAGGGTCGGCCGAATGTATGTGGATTTACCAATTGGCGCATTAAAACATGAAATTCGACCGTCTCAAGCAGCTGGACGGCAAGCAAACCACTAAAAAAGTACATTATAATATAAATTTATTAACAATACGTCTGGGTGCATTAGAGAAATTAAAAAACCGCATAGTAAACAAGCCGACAAAACGTTGAGTGCAGTACGATTTCAAAGATTGTCCAAGCTGCGAGAAAAGATAGGAAAATATTGCTGGTCGATTGTTGAGGTCCGTCTTTTGACACTTCGTATTTTTTAAGTCTCGGTTTTATTTCGAAGGAAATTTTGTGCGCTTTATAAAGTTAGCTTTGTTATTTTATAAAGTAAATCTAAAGGAAGATCTCATAAAAGAAGTCTTCAACTTTGGCGAAAGGTCTACTTTAAATTCTTGTATTTTATTAAAATATCGTTGTTGGAGTAAAATGGCTGCCATGGTGGAGAATCGTGTGTCGAACCGTGAGGAAGACTTGATGAACAATGAACCGTCTATGAGCGGTAGAAGTGTTGTTGGTTTGATTATTCCACCACCAGATATTAGAGGTAAGTTTTTGGTTTTTTGAATTTTTGTTGGTTTAGACAAAGGAGATGTTGTTGTTGTTAAAGACGTCATGGAAGGCTCGATTTTGGTCTGGACTTGACGTTTTATGATTTAAAAGATGCGCAAAGATCTGTAGTAGCTAACTAATTAGGTTTTATGATGGTGTAGTTAGTTTTTCAAAAGTTTTATCACAAAGGAATGGGATATTTAATATTGATCGTTAACTTAATATCGATGTTTACTATAATGAAACAAAAAAGTTTAGGTGTATGAATTGTAGCTTAAAAGATGCGTTAGATTATGTAGTTTCTAATGTGTATTTTTATTTTTTTAATATTTTGTTTTGAGTTTGTAAAATACGTAAGTCTATCTCCAATGGGCAATTAATATTTTTAGCTATCGTTGAGAAGACAGCGGCGTTCGTAGCCAAGAATGGAATTGATTTTGAAAACAAAATTAAGGAAAAAGAATCAGGCAACAGTCGATTTGGATTCTTGGCACCAAACGATCCATATCACGCGTATTACCGGTCGAAAGTTTCTGAAGCCGAGTCTGGGAAGATAAGTGAACCATCAAAGCCACAATTGCCAGACGCTGTTAGAGAGCATGTTAAAAAGGCAGAGTTTGTACCTACAAATCCACCACCAGCTTATGAGTTTATGGCGGATCCAGCAACTATCAATGCTTTTGATTTGTAAGTTGATCTATATTGTTTTAGGTGATAAGCCGGAGTTTGTATCAATTTTAGTTACGAAACCAAATTTGGTAAATATTTAGGTAACAAAACTTACTTTTTTGTATAAAAATAAACAGAAATTAGTTTTAAATCTTAAAATTCGATACCTAAAATAGTGTCTTTACTTTCAGAGACCTAATGCGATTGACAGCATTGTTCGTAGCTCGAAATGGACGTCAGTTCTTGACCAGTTTAATGAATCGTGAAGTCAGAAATTATCAATTTGATTTTTTGAAGCCTCAGCACAGTAATTTCCCGTATTTTAGCAAACTTATCGAACAGTACACTAAAGTAAGTTTTTTTAATTTTTTGTTGGTTTTTAGGTAACATTTTGAGGAAAATTAGCTTTTAAGATAGGGATTTTACTAATTTGTCTATATTTAGGTAATAATCCCACCAAAAAGCATAGTAGACGACCTGGCGCGTCAAATGGAGTACGATGTTGTACTAGGCGATGTAAAGTACCGTGTGGCTTGGGAAAAGCACCAAAAAGCAATTAAAGACAAAGAGGATAAAGCGTTGGAAGAAGAGCGTCTAGCTTTCAACTCTATCGACTGGCATGACTTTGTAGTAGTTCAAACGGTCGATTTCCAACCTCACGAAACCCAAAATCTACCCCCATTGTGCACACAGAAAGATGTCGGTGCCCGTATTCTGATGCAACAACGTACAGAAGCGGCTAAGGCAGCAGCCGAATCCGTAGCAATGGAGATGGATTCGGATTCAGAAGAGGAAGAACGAAACGATGAGGTAGATCAACAACAACGTGCGGCCTACGAAGTCACTCAGCCTGCACCAGCACCGCCTACCATGGATTCAGCGAATGTTAGAGATTATGATCCGAAGAAGGCGAGACAACAGAAGAAGATGCCTGGAGATAAGTACATTATCTCTCCGCTGACTAACGAACGCATTACTGCGGACCAGCTACCTCAACATGTGAGGTATAACATTGTGGATCCACAGTTTAAGGAACAAAGGGATCGGTGAGTTGATTTTTGTAATTTGTGTTGGATCAAGATTTTGTTGTCGTATTTTACAAGGAATTTGAGTTGTAAGGGTATTGGGTTGAGTTATGGCCAAAATTTTATATTATCCATGACTATCAGGTAGGGGTTTAGAAGTTTTGTTATTATGAGAAGGTCAAACTCCAAAAGAGGTTTAATTTTTTAAAAATATAATGTGATTGAGATGCATTTACTGTATTTTTAAACAGAGTTTGGATAAGAACGTGGATTTTCGAGTTATGGCCAAAAACTTATATTATTCATGACCATCAGATGGAGTTGGAACTTTTTGATATTTTAGATAACGTAAATGTTTAGGAAGGGTCGTATTGACGAAAATAGTATTGTATTTAACTGCTTTGTTGGTTTTGAAAAGGAAAATTGATTTCAGTTGACCAAAATTTAGATATCTTGTAAAATTATATTATTCCTGGTCGGCTGATGAATTTTTGGTAATTTTTGTTATTAGTAAAAGTTAAAGGATTAAAAAGAAGTGTTTGTAGTTGAATTAGCTTTATATTGAGAGTAGTTTACTACATTAATGTCGAAAATTTGATAAAGATGGACCAACATTGAGTTATGACAAAAATTATAATATCCATGACCATCAAATGGTTTTTTTTATTTTTTGGAGAGTTGCCACTTGAGTTTGTATAATGTTTATAAACACTGGTTTTTCCATGGTTAACCATTGATTTTTCAGAGAACAAATGGAGCGTCAGTCCGACGACACGATGAACTTGACTTCAGGCACGGAAATCAGTCGAAACATCCAAAAAATGGCCATGTACCGAACTGATATCTTTGGCACGGGCGCATTAGGAGCGGAACAAGCTGGTATTGGTGAAAGATTGACAGATATGCCTCCACCACAACATCCACCAAAACGACACGGCCATAATGCTGGGCCAGACAGCAAAAAATCAAGGAATTGATGGGGTTTAAAGCCATTTTTAATGTTATAATTGGACTTGTTGTGTTGAAAGTAAAGTAATATTATTATTGAAGGTGGTAAAGAGCTTTGAATTGATATTCTTGTTTAGGAAAAGTGGGCTTTAAAGCTTTTTGTTGGGTAGAAGAAGGTTGCCAGAGGGAACGGGTAGATTTTAAGACCAGGGCCAAGGCTAGGACTTTGGTTTAGGGCTTTGAGCTAAGGCTCTGGGTTAGGGCTTTGGGCTAAAACTCTGTTCCAGGGCTGCGTGCTAAAGCTCTGGGGTAAGGTTAGTGTTAAAGCTAGGATTATGGCTAAAGCTATGGATAAGACAGGGGGAGGGGGTAATTAAAATTTTTTTTGTGTGGGCCACCCGTCCTCTCCACAATAACAAAGTGTAAAATTAAGGAATTTTTTAGGGTGTATTACCCCGCCCTTGCCACAAAATTCTTTTTTTTTCTTTTTCATCCCAATCAAGCCAAAATTTACATCTTCCCTCTGGCACTGCTTACGCGCAAACTTTATCTGGTGGGTCATTTTAAATTTCATAGAAGAGTGAAAGAGGACACGACTTTTTAAATTTTTTTAAGTTATGGTTCTAGACCAAGGCTATGACTGGCTATAAGGGCATAACTTTTGAAAAAAAATATTTTTGTGCGGATCACTCCGCCCTCACCATAACTTTAACAAACTGTAAACCAAAAACGTGTAACTTATCTCTCTTTGACCGAAAACCAGATGTAACATTTCTTTTCCAATTTACAACGAGTTCAAAACAATGTGATAAGGGGAGAGTTAATGGATCGCTTCTCCACACTTTTCGGGTTTCTTTGTGTTTGCAAAAACAAACGTGGACTTTGGTATGTTTTCGAAGCGATCAAAGTAATTAGGTGTTATCGGGCAATTATTGTTGTTGTACTCGACTGATAAGTTTAGTACATTTCAAAGCAAAAAAAGATTTTTTTTTGAAATTTTTTTATTTTTCGAAGAAAGTCGTTTACAAAGATGACGTATTTTTTAGAAGGTGGCATAATTTTTAGAAGATGACATATTTTTTAGAAGATGACATATTTTTTAGAGGATGACATATTTTTTATAAGATGACATATTTTTTAGAAATGCTATTTTTAGATGACGTATTTTCCGGAATTTTAAAATGTAATGACTTGTTTTGTAGAGCGTGGCCTGAAATTGATCAAGAGCTTTAGACAGGGCTAGTGCTCTGAGCTAAGGCTCTGGGCTAGGGCTCTGCGCTAGGACTCTGGGTTAGGGCTTTAGGCTGGGCTCTGGGCTAGAGCTATAAAGCTAAAAAATACCTTTAAAGATCAGTGATCACTAATTCAAAGCCACTAATCGCTGCGGTTATTACATATGGTAATTATGATATGGTGACAAGGCCATCAGATATACATATATAAAGTTTTACCTTAATCTATCTTGTCATATACAGCTGCTTTACAATGTGTTAATCTAACCCAGAGCTTTGGCAGAAAGTTTTATCCCAGAGCCCTAGCTTAATTTAGGGCGTGGTAAATTTTTAACATTTTTTGCGGGGGTAGATTTTTTAAAAAAAGTTCCAAAAACATAAAAAAATAAGCCTCAAGCATTTTTTCAATAAATTATTAAAAAAATACTGGGCGTGGTAAACTTTTTAAAATTTTTTGCCGGGGTGGATTTTTAAAAAATATAAAAACATAAAAAAAGAAGCTTTAAGCATCTTTTCAATAAATTTTAGAAAAATAAATTTTGGGTGTGGTAAAATTTTTAAAAATTTTTTACGGGGGTGATTTTTAAAAAAAATTCCAAAAACGTAAAAAAACAAGATTTCTGCAACTTTTCAACATTTTTAAAAAAATTTATGGCAAGATGGAGGCCTAGCTCAGAGCCCTAGCCCAGAGCCCTAGCCCAGAGCCCTAGCCCAGAGCCCTAGCCCAGAGCCCTAGCCTAGAGCCTTAGCCCTAGCCCAAAGCCCTAGCCCAGAGCCCTAGCCCAGAGCCCTAGCCCAGAGCCCTAGCCCAGAATTCAGAACCCTAGCCCAGAGCCCTATAGCCTTATCATAATCATATCATCAGTAGAATATCTTTCATTCAAAAATAATAATTTTTGTTTTATTTGTCGCTGATATGTTGTTGTAAAGTGTTCTCTCCGCCTTCACGCTGACTTATCATTAATATTGCAGGTATGGTAAACAACATTGGTTCGCGTTTTTTCGACTTATCGCTTTTCGGGTTTGTTTTGGTCATTAATGGAGTTGGTGATTGTTTATAAGCCATTTTCAGCACGATGGGCCTTTTATTCAGGATGTGGGTTTTCTTGGGTTTTAGGGGGTTAGTCGTTAACGCTACTGTCATTTTTAAGCTGTGTGTCTAAGATCTGGACTGGAGTTAGAATTAGGGCCAAGGCTAAAGAAGGACAGGAGTTAGGGCTTTAGTTTGGGCTTGGGCTAGGGCATAAACACGGGCTCTAGGCTAGGGTTTTGGTGTGAGCTTGGTCTCGAGCTTGGGTTTGAGCTTGGTCTACGGCTAAAGCTAGAGCTGGGATTAGGGTTATGGACTGACATAGACTTGGGTTAGGACTACATCTAGAACTCTCTACTAGTGGTAGGGCTGACTAGGCTAAGCTGGGCTTGACTAGGACGGGCTGAGCTGGGCATAGGCTTGGGTATGGGCTTGGGCTTGGGCTTGGGCTTGGGCTTGGTCTAGGGCTAGGGCTAGAGCTAGAGCTAGGAATAGAGCTGTGGACTAACCTGGGCTTGTTACAGAGCTAGATTTAGGATTCTGGACTAAGGCTAGACCAGACTAGACTAGGCTGAGTTGAGCGTAGTCTTGGCTTTGGTCGGGCTCTGGGCTTTGATCTAGGGTTCTGGACGAGGGCTTTGGTTTGGGCTGAGCTGAGCGGTCTGGGTTAAGTTAGGCTGGACTATGCTTGGGCCTAGGACCAGGGCTCTGTGCTAGGGTTAGGGCTCTGGGCTGAGGCTTTTGACTAGGGCTCTGGGCTAGGGCTCTGGGCTAGGGCTTTGGGCTAGAGCTTGATTACTTGTGTTACAACTTCAAAACAGTTATCTTTGATCTATTGTTTGTTCGAGTACAGCTAATCGGATGTTGTACTAAAGTTGTAGTGACCGTCCTTATCAACTCTTGTGTATTTTCTTACTTTTTCATGGAAATTTTGATTGTAATCAGTATAATTGGTCAAGTAAACAAGTATACAATCAGTTTTGAAATTCTCTTTCAAAATTATTTTTTATTTTTTGTACTAGGATACTGTAGTTTTGAAAATTTCGTAGTACGGTAATTTTTTTTTGTAAATTTTTAATTTATTTAGGTATTTGTATTACTATACTATCGTGTTTTACATATTTTAAGGTGTTATATTGACTAAACTTTAATTTTTCAAAAAAAATTTTTTTTGAAATTTCAAAATTTTTCGAAATTTTTAAAAAATTTAAAAATTTTAGCCAAGATGAGTGGATTTTCAATCCCAAGAGTCATTGAAGGTATTCAATACTACACACCATTCCTAATTCAAATGGTAGTCTACTTCTGGATCGACTTTTTCAAAGCCTGGCTACCGTATTGGCCTCAGAAGCAGATTAAAGGGCAACTCATGCTGATCACTGGCGCTGGATCTGGAATTGGAAGGGAGAGTGCTAAGCAGGTAGGGTAATATTTTTTTTAGGGTGTGGTAGGGTAGGGTAGGGTAGGGTAGGGTAGGGTAAGGTAGGTAGAGCAGGGTAGGGTAGGGTAGGGTAATAAAAGAAAATCAATACTATGTGGACCAAATGTAAATTTCTTGAAAGATAGGGCTAGAGTTGAGAAACAATATTTTCTAAAAATCAATACTATGTAGACAAAATGTAAATTTTAAAGTTTTGGGGTATGACATGAGATAGAGTAGGATAAATCTATGAAAATCAATACTGTGTGAACAAAATGTAATTCTTTTGTAGGGTAGGGCAGTTTTAAAGCAAGGGATTGCTAAGCTTGAGCTAGAGCTAGGGCTAGGGATAAGGCTGGAGCTATGTCTAGAATGGAGCACAACATTTTAAAAAAATCGATACTATGTAGACGGAATGTAAATGTTGGCGTAAGGCTTGGGCTAAAGTTGGCTAAATTTAAAATCAATTTTAAGTGAACAAAATGTAAATATTTTACAAAGTAGAGCAGGGCTTACTATAATATATTTTTTAACTATACTGTAACAATTAAATTTTCCGTATTGCATTACAGTAAGCGTTGTAAAATAACAAAATAAAATTTTTTTAAGTTTGCCCACCGTGGAGTCCGCCTAATCCTCTGGGATGTGAACGAAGAAGGTCTGAAAGAAACCAAAGAAATCCTGGCACAGAACGGTCACGACAACGTCCAAATCATGCGAGTGAACCTCGGCGACCACGACGACGTACGACGTGCTGGCTCCGAAGTACGCGACAACTACGGCGTTCCAGACATTGTCTTCAACGTGGCTGGCATCAATGGTGCCTTCTCGCTGACCGAGTGCGACATGGGCAAATACGACAACACCATGAACGTGAACACACGTGCCGTCGTTACGGTAGTCAACGAGTTCTTGAACGAAATGATCAGTCGAAACAGTGGACACTTGATCACGTTAACATCGATTGCTGGCTACCAAGGAGCCGGAGGCCTGATTGCTTATACTATGAGCAAGTACGCGGCCGTCGGCTACATGGAATCGATTCGAAATGAGTTCAAATCTAAGAAAATTGACATCAAGTGCACTACTGTGGCTCCGTACTATGTCAAGACACCTATGACCAGAGGAGTGGAGTATGAGTATGTTAGCTATTTTTTTTTATTTAAAAATGACTTATTTTTAAATCGAAAAAATTTTTCTCCCTCGCCAAAAATTACCTGAAAATTTACCCCGCCCGAAAAAGTTTTTGGAAAACTGTTTGAACGTCACTGAAAGCTTGTTTTTTCACCTTTTTAAGGTATTTAAAAATTATCCACCCCCACAAAAAAATAAAAAAATTTACCACGCCCAAATTTTTTTCAAAACATGTTTAAAAGTTGCTCAAATTTGTTTTTTTTTTTATTTCTCTAAGGTTTTTTTTAATATATCCACCCCTAGAGAAAAAATTTAAAATTTACCACGCCCAAAATTTTTTTTTATCTAGGGCGCCAATTTCGAAAAAGTTGTTTAAAAGTTGCTAAAACTATGTTTTTTGACGTTTTTAAGACATTTCGAATATGAAAAGTAGGTGGAAGATTTTCAATGCAAAATACATTACAAATCTTCCACTTAAGTTCCATTTTTCAAAACCTCCGTATTATTGGACAGAATTTGAAAGTTGAACATTTTTATTTTATTTTCTCATTTCAGCAACTTCTGGGCCCCAATGTGCGAGCCAGAATACGTAGTCGAACAAATCGTTGAAGGCGTTCTTCGCGAATCCGAAGAAATTTTCATTCCACGATGGTCTTGGTTCTACGTCGTTATTAAGGGGTAGGTTTCTTAAGATTTGCTTATTGGAAGCACGTATTTTACAAATTTTGTTTTCAAACTTATGATAACTGTACTTTTTTTGAACGGAATGTTACAAACGTAGAAATCAATACTATGTAGACGAAATGTAAATTTCAAAAAATAATTTAAAAAATAGTAATAATACGGATAAGGGCGGGGGGGGTAGAATAGTACAAAAACTCTAAAATACGAATAACTGAAGGAATTGCAAAAGGCGATACTATGTGAGTGTAATGTAAATTTTTATAGGGTAGGGTAGGGTAGGGCAGGGTAGGGTAGGGTGGGTAGGGTAGGGTAGGGTAAAGTAATGTAGAGTAGAACTATAATTTTCGTAATTTTAGCTTCTTGCCAACCCGTGTAATGGACGTCTTCACCGAGGCCTTCGAAATTCACACTTTGCCAATTGGTTTCGAGAGATTCCGCCTACAGCAAGCCAAATTGAATGGAGCTAACGGTACTCCCAATGGCAATCAGAACGGGGTTGAAAATCGTTAGAACAACTCATTTTGGATACTTACTTTTCACATTTTAATAAATTTTTATATTAGTTTTTACTAACTGTACCAAGTGTACCACTAGTACCATTTTAAAGAAATACAGAAATTTTAGTTAAATAGTATTTAGTATTGTAAAAAACCGTCATTTTAAAAAAATTTTTTATTTTTTGGTACCAAGTGTACTAGTAGTACTATTAGTACCAACTTGGCAAAACAACTAAAAACCGATTTCTTGTAATTTAAAATTACTCTACAACAATTTTTTTAAAATTTTTTTGTTTTTTGTACTACTGGTACACTTGGTACCAAAAAAAATTTACTTTTTTAAAATTAAAAGAAAAATTTTTTTTTAATTTTTTAAAATATTAAAAATTTAAAAATTTTTAAATAACAAGTTTATTATTAAAAACACATTTCTATTTTTACATTACACTAGCTTAAAGTACGTCACATCACAACATATTCAAGGCTTCACGTTGACACGGCTCGGTGAAGCTGGGGTCTGAAATTGGATGGAGGCGAACGTTGTCCAAGGCGCAAATTCCATTTTTGTTACCCAAATTTTCACAAATAAAAATTATCTGAAAATGCCATTTTTTAGCTTGTAAAGAAAGTTCTTGCCATTTTTTGTTTTGTAAAGAAAGTTCTTGCCATTTTATGTTTTGTAAAGAAAGTTCTTGCCATTTCATATTTTGTAAAGAAAGTTCTTTCCATTTTTTGTTTTGTAAAGAAAGTTCTTGCCATTTTTTGTTTTGTAAAGAAAGTTCTTGTCATGTTTTGTTTTGTAAAGAAAGTTCTTGCCATTTTATGTTTTCTTACCTTTTCTGTCTCCTCCACGCACTCCATTGTCCCACCCCTCCAAATCACTTCTCCCTGCCTTCGTTCACTTTCAAATGGACACCTCAGTTGAATTTTGTCATTTGTTTTAAATTGACAACAACCCATGAATCGCTCTCCTTCTGTCCATTCCAAGTAATCAAAGACCACGAAAAATCGACTGGTCGCATTTGTTGGGGATTCAATTGAAGCTACTTGACCTGGGTTGACTCGAGTCTCTATGAAGTTGGACTGGGCTACTGAAAGTGAGGTTTCGTCATTAGATAGTATCCTACCCTACCCTACCCTACCCTACCCTACCCTACCCTACCCTACCCTACGCTTGTTCTTATGTTACGTTATGCACTACCGTATCCTACTCTGTAGCCTTGACTAACCAAACTCTATAGTTGACTTTACAGTATCTTCTAGCCAAGCCCTATCCTTAATCTTAGCCTTACCGTACTCTTATCTCATACCCTGCCCTGATATAATCTACCGTACCCTTACTCTTAGCCTTTCCCTACAACCTACTCTACCCTACTCTGCTCTGCTTTGCTCTGCGTTATCTTGCCCTTCTTTACTCTTCTATTTACATTTCGTCTACATAGTATTGATTTTTCGTCTTTTTTCATTACTTACCATTAACTTTTCGAAACACGGTCGGATTCATATTCCTGAAGCCACAGAAGCCATTTTCAAACAGACATCCACCAGAAAAGTCGCATTCTTTGTCATTATCATTGGTACCAAGTGTACCACTTGCATCAGTTTTTGAAACCATAGCGTCTGGTACTTTAAAATGACTCCACGATGGTTCTGTACTACTTATTACAGCCAATGGTGCTCTTGAAGCACTTTCAGATATCTGTGGTACTAATGGTACGTCTTGATCAATTTTTGGTACCGTTGGTGCCTTTTGGTCATTGTTTTGTAAATTGACGGTATTTTTTAAATTTTGAGGCGCATTATTAGCATCTGGTCCTACTGGTACTACAAACTTGTTGGGTATTAAAAAGTTTGGTACCGTTGTTGTTTTCAGTACCATACGATCTTGTTCATGCGTAGCCTCCCACCATGGTGAATATGTTGTTGTAGTGATTCGTTGGAACGAATTTGGGCCAAATTTGGCTTCTGGGTGAGTCTGGGTACCATGTGGGTGGGTTTGAGTACCATGTGTACCAAAACGGTTTTCTGAGCGCAATGTTGTAGTATGATGTACTAATGGTGAAGTGGTAGTAATTGTCAGTATATTTGATGCTATTATACCATCTTGAGGTCTCGGTACTAAATGAGTACCAATAGTACTATCTACATGATTTTTAAATTTGTGCTCTAGAATTAAGTTTTGAGTACGTTGAGCATTGTTTTGAAGAGTACCAAATGTACCATCTGTACCAGTTTCATCAACAGTACCATGTGTACCACCTTTAGCTTGTATGCTGCTTGTACTAATAGTACCGCCTTTATTTTGAGCATTATTAGTACCATGAGTACCACCAGTACCATGTGCACCATCATCAGTACCACGCGCACCAGCCCCAACAATAGGCACAGAATGAGCAGGATGTATATGAGGTGGTATAACATCAGCAACATGGTGATGATGCGCCATAGCATGTTTGTTCATATCAACTGGTACCACTCTCAATGGATTGGGCAGCTTATTAGCCAAATCTCGAGTCAACTCTTCGTTCAAATGGTGGATCTTCAGTTTGGCCAAAGCCACCGGATTCTCAGTGGTAAAGGCGTGAGATGCCGGAGAAAAAACTGTTACTGTAGGTTCATCGCTATCAACCAGACTAGATTTTTGAGTGGACTGGAAGAGTCTTGGACTGGGCTGTCTTTCAGCATCAATGTCTTTTGGCTTAGTTGATAGGCCCGGCTGGCGCGGCTCGTTGAAAATTGTCGAAGTGTCTTGGGAAAGTTGAGAGTTTTTGCCATTTACGGTGGATAAGACATTCTTTTTTGTACCAAAACCAACCAGACTAGTATCCCTAGAATCTTGGCTATCTTCTAAGCCTAAATTTCTGCCACGGCTAACCTCAGTTTGGCTAGAAAATCGACTTTCAGCCGACCCACCGTCAGCTCTAGCCAAGCTTTGAGTTGTCGTGGAAAAATGATCCGCCCTTTTTTCATTTTGATTGTCTTGGCCAAATTTCGATGCTATGCCATTTTCAATACCTTTGTGGCCAAGCTGACCACTTTGGCCAAGATTACTTTTAGGTCTGGTCACCTCATTTTGGCCAAAAACTCCCAAATTAGACGAATATTCAGAGTTTTGACTCTTGAGTAGAGTTGCAGAAGTTGTTGATATTGGCGACGCCGCAACTTTTGGACCATTCTCAACTTGTTGCCGTTGTTTAGTAGACTTTAGGGAGTCTTGGTCTTCAAATTCTTCCTCTTTTTCGTATTTAGAAGAGTTGAACGTGGGCTCCAAAAACTCCGCGAAGTCCTTGCCGAACATTTCACTTAAGGCTGAAAAAAAGCGCAATAACTTTGTTTACAAACTAAATTTTACAAATCTGTTTGACAAGATTAAAGTCACCTATTTTTTACATGCAAAAACTTTGTTTCCATTTTTTTAAATTTAAAAATATTAATTTTATGATTAAAGAATGACTTACGGTCAGGTATATTGTTAGTAGTTTTCGCCCGACTTTCTTCAATATTCCTTTCAGTAGTTGTACCAACAGTACCAATTGCGCCATTTTGATCATTGCCATTACTTTTTATAGCCACACCGCCATTTACTCCATTTCTAGTAGCACTATTTGTACCAACAGTATCAGTAGGACCATTAGCACCACTATTAGTACCACTAGTACCATCACGACCACTAGAGTCATCATTTTTCCGTTTGCTCCATCCAGTAGTTAAAATTCGTCTACCAGGAGGAACTCGATTATTACCGACCGGTCGACTTCCATTCTTCGACTGAATATCAACCCTAGGCGCAGCTAACTGATGAGTTTTAAAATCTTTTCGCAGTAACTGCTTCTCCAGTAATTTATCGTAGTAACTGCGTTTTTTACTGAGTAATTCTTCGTAGATACCATCGTCTTTGGCTTGTTCGTATTTTGGATCTGACTTGAACTGGCCTTGGCTTTTGAAGCGGGCGGCTGGAAGAGGTGGGGGTTTAGTTACTGTAACTTTGAGAATTTTTGAAATTTTAAAAATTGGTTTAAAGACTTTGATGACAATTGGAATTAGCTTTATTGTCACAAATGTTCAAGTTTATACCTAAATTTAAAAAAACATTATGATAAAAAAAAGTTGAGTTACTAAGAAAAAATTTGAAAAAGTGGTTAATTTAAAATTACTGTAACTTTAAAAGTACTGTAAGTTTAACAATTCTTCTTATAGTTCTGTATGCCAATACCAATGTATACAATGTCTTCAAATGGCAAGTCTGTACCTACTTTTTCAAACAAGTTACACTAAAAAAACCAAGTTAGCAACGGCTAAATTAGAAAAACTAGTATACGGTAAAACTACTGTATCTTCATAACACGCTTATATTTTAAAATTTTATTTTAAAAAGTCTATGACAAACTAAATAACCCATCATGACACAAAATTTCAAACCTCTACCTTCATTTCTAAAAAAGTTATGACCAAAAAATGTCAGACTTACCACCGTTCTTAACTGCCTTATCGCTTTCCGTTGGTAACTGAATAGCCGTTCTGCCAATTTTTCGTTGACGTTTAATAGAAGGATCATCATTTGACTCATCGTAAAACCTTGGCTTTACTTCCTTTTTAGGCAACTTCAAATTGGTATCACATGGTTCAGTTTGAACATTAAGAAAATCGATTAGACCGGTCGGTGGTAGGTGGACACTTCGACTTCGGAGGACTATTACTATCTGAAACAGTGTAAAATACGTTAAACAAATCTTTTAATGTCAATTTTTATTAGTTTTTGAGGTGTTTTAGTAATATCGCAAAGACCAAAACAAAAATTTATTGGAAAGTGAGACAAAATGTCAAAACATTCATCGAATTAAAAAATTTTTTTTATCATTTGTTAGAACATTTTAACCATCAGAACACTAGTTACAATCATTTTTGACTTTGGAACAAAGTGCCACATATATTATTGGAAACTGAGACGAAATGTCACAAAATTTATTAATTTTTTAAAAATTATTATAGTTATTCGAACTTTTTAATCATTAAAACGTCAGTTTAAAACATTTTTATGTTTGTAATAAAGTGTCACAAAAATTATTGAAAAGTGCAACGAAATGCCAAAAAGCATTGTAAAATAAGACAAAATCTCACAAAGTGTATTGAATTTTAAAAATATGTTTCTAATATCAATTATTAAAAAATTCTAATTATTAAAACAGCTGTTTGAATTAGTTTTAACTTTGTAACGAAGTGCCACAAAACTTATTAGAAAAAAACGAAATGTCACAAAATTTATCGAATTTTCAAAAATTGAAATTAAGCTCTATAACACAAACTCACATTGACAGGATACCCCTGTATGACTCTAATAGCCTGTGTTTCAACTAATCCATGCTTATTGGAATCCAACTCTTTACACTGTGACACACTTCTGTTATCAGCTTGTTGTCGCCAACAAAGTTGAAACAATGACACCGGACTTGCCCAATGTCTAAAGTAAATGTATATGTTTGTGATTGTGTATGAGTTTGAATATATGTAAATGTATATTACCTAATAGACACAGTTACAACTCCAGTTCCAGAGCAGTAATCGCAACTTTCCAGCGCACTCAGCTCGTACGGCTCACTTAAAACGCTCGAGTAGTAGCCGCGGGCTAAAAATAAACAACTACTATATCAAGCCTTGAACAAACAAACAAAGCTTTATAAATTTGGATTTGGGAAAATAGCAAAAACTTTCTTTACAATGTAAAAAATGGCTAAAAAGGGCTAAAAATGGGTAATACTCAAGGTATTTTGGCCTATAATTGTCATTTTTTAACCTACAAACACTAAAAAATTTACAAATATGTAATTTTCTAAAATTTTTTTAGCTAAAGTTTTTCAAAAAAAATGCGAAAGCTTTCTTTACAGAGGCAAAAACAGCAAAAAACAAGCAAAAAATCAAGAAAAACGAGCTTTTTTAGTCCAAAACTGTCATTTTTAAACCCAAAACCTCTTGAAAACCTTTTAAAAATCTATTTCTAAAAATTTTATTACCTAAAATATCAAAATTTTTCATTTTGTTATCAAAAACCTTCCAAAAAATGCAAAAACTTCTGCAGGAAGTGGGATTCGAACCCACGCATCGATAACGATACTAGAAGGCTCCGAACCGTCGGGTTGCGACGAAGCTGTTTCGCTTGAGTCTAGCGCCTTAGACCACTCGGCCATCCCTGCACGCTTCGTTCCATCTTTGTTTTCGTTTTGAATCGCTTTGGGGAGGAAAGGAAGGGTTTATAAGGTTTTAGGGTGGATTTTGGGCATTTTTGACTGTTTTTGAAAAGAAATGTTCAAAAATAATGAAAACCCTTACCAGGAGGAGCTCTCAAAGTCCCCAAACGAAAAGTCCGACGATAATAGGTTGGATCAATGTGATCATGATATTTCCAGGACCTTGAACTGTTATTTTCATGCCAGCAACAATCCGATGACAAACTGAGACAATTTTCTGAAAAAAATTTAAATTTTTCAGTTTGAAATTTCAAAAATTTAAATAGCTGTCCCAGCCTTAGGCCAGAGCCCTAGCCCCGAGCCCTAGCCCAAAGCCCTAGCCCAGAGCCCTAGCCCAGAGCCCTAACCCAGAGCCCTAGCCCAGAGCCCTAGCCCAGAGCCCTAGCCCGGAGCCCTAGCCCAGAGCCCTAGCCCAGAGCCCTAGCCCAGAGCCCTAGCCCAGAGCCCTAGCCCAAAACCCTAGCCCAGAGCCCTAGCCCAGAGCCCTAGCCCAGAGCCCTAGCCCAAAACCCTAGCCCAGAGCCCTAGCCCAGAGCCCTAGCCCAGAGCCCTAGCCCAGAGCCCTAGCCCAGAGCCCTAGCCCAGAGCCCTAGCCCAGAGCCCTAGCCCAGAGCCCTAGCCCAGAGCCCTAGCCCAGAGCCCTAGCCCCGAGCCCTAGCCCAAAGCCCAAATCCCAGTTTAAAAAGTTCATCAACTCACCATTACAATAAACAATATGGCACAAGAAATATAAATTGAGGAAGATTAAAGTAAAGGAATGGGTTGATAACCGGTAATTAATAATCATTTTAGGTACTTGGAGGTAGTAGAATTTGTAAATTACAATTTTACATTTGATCTGAAAACAAAAAAAGATAAAAATAAAAGTAAACGAAGTTATAAAATGTAAAATACGTAATAGTAATCATTAATAATATAGTTACAATGTAAGTCATTTATAAAGATCCGCTGTAATCAGGGCGGGACGGGGACTTTTGGTTTGGGGGCAGGGGTCAAAAAAAATGTTTTCAAAAAATCCACAGGGGACCACGTTAACTTTTTTTAAATTTTTTTTTCTAACGGGGGAGTACTTTTTCGAAATCTTTTTTCTGGCCCCCCAGCGCCCGGCCTTGCCTGTAATACAAACTCTTATATAACAAACTCCTCTATAACAAACTACTATGCCACTACATAGTGAATTCAAAACTCATACTGCACAAACTCGTTTATAACGAACTAGACTTGAAAAACGGGCCGGACTGGTCGTGACCCAAATTTAAATAGATCAGGTCAGGCTTGATCCGCGGGCTTTGCTTCGAAATTGTGCCCATTCTTTCTGGTCCATTGTTCATGTCTATAACGAACAAATTTTAAATCCCCGAGCATTTGTTATACAGAAGTTTTATGGTACACGCAGAAAACTGTCTGATGTTACCACAAATCTTTTCTTTTGCTTTACTATTATATTATATTTCTCCCCTTTGAATAGAAAACAATATTCAGTAGCTCCGCCTTTATTATTATGAATGGGTGTTAGCCTTCAAGAAGGGCAAATATATTTAAACGATAAAAAATATATTACAGCAACATATTATCCTGTACGACTAGATTTGTAAAAAGACTGGGCTTGGCCATAGTGTTTAGCCCTATCCGGCCCTTTTTTAAATTTACGTCTGTCTGGCCCTGTTTCTTATATCAGGTTGTTCATTTTGGCGTTATACTATTTTAAACTATACGGTTAAAGTCGACCGTTCTTTTTAGGCCAACCTAATATAAATTCATAAAATTGCGATACTTAAGCTAGGCTCTGTGTTCTCCATTTAGAATTGGCCCTTGAGTTCGCGAAATTCGGCCAATTCTTATTCTACAAGTTTTTTTCAGCCCAGACTGGGTTGAGGCCAAGCCAGGCCTAGAAGGCCTACTTTATTGTCTACCATACACACTAAAAATAGCCATAAAGTAGACTTAAAAATAACCCACTAGGTCTTACAGACGCAGCTCAGGTCACGCAACAAAAGATTTGGCTTAATGATTTTATCCTCGCCCGGATACGAAACCTGGCCAGGCCAGAAAAGATTTTTAAATATCCGAGCCAAACCAAAAAAATTGAGCCAGCATAGCTCTTTTACAGGTTTAACATAACATAAGCAATCAAAATGACAAAATGAATTTTTTGTTTTATAACAAATCATCCTCCCTTCCCCCCCCTTCCGTTTACTCTTTAACTCCCCACCCCCACCGTCTAGCCTCTCTCCCCCCCTCCTTCTCCCTTCACCTACTCCCACCCATAATCTCTTTAAAAACTGATGTTTGATCAAGTTTTACCACGCCCGAACTAGTATTATATGGTTTAGAAAGTGGCTCTCCCATCGCCATTTTCCCCACAATTAAACTTGTTGTGGGTCACGGCCCATCAACGCCGGATTTCACTTTCACATTAAACTGAATATGTTCCGTATTTAATGGCATTTTGAAGAATGAGCTTTGTTTAGAAATGTGTTATTAAAATTCGAGCTGGTTGAAAAAAATGTTTTCATATTACAATAGGATGAGCAAAATATTATATTTACATTTTTCATTTTTTCCTTTGTGAAGAAAGTTCTTGCCATTTTTTGTTTTGTAAAGCAAGTTCTTGCCATTTTTGCTTTGTAAGGAATATTCTTGACATTTTTTGTTTTGTACCTCGATAAGCCCTTTAAAAAACCCAAACCTAACCCTACCACTAAGCTTACATCTAAAACCACCCGCTTGAGCCTATCCTTAAGGCCCAGCCCCTAAGTCTGTGCCTCAAATGTTTAAGCCTACCCTAATAAGCTCAATAAAAATCATAACACCAACAACCATTAAGCCTACTTCTAAAACTCTAAGCCTAATGAACCTAACCATAAGTTTTTAAGCCTAAGGTACCGCAAAAACCGTTTGGAAAACCCAAACCTAATGTATTTCTAAGCCTATCTTTAAAACTTTAAGCCTAATCTTTCTTTAATAAGCTCTTTAAAAAACCTAAACCTAACCCTACTCTTACGCCACCCTGAAAACTTTACCCTTACGTCTAAGCTTCAGATTTTTAAGCCCAAGCATACTTCCTTAAACCTTTCAATATAACCCAGATCTAACCCTACCTCTAAGCCTACATCTAAAACTCTGATGTTAAGCCTGCCCCAATAAGCCATCAAGTCCAAGTCTACCCTTAAGCCTAACCCTTAAATTCTTAACATCTTCCCCAACATAATCATAAGCCTACAAAATCATAAGCCTACCCTAAAAATCCTCAGACCACCCTTAAAACCGTAAGCTTGTCTTTACATCCCCAAATCCACCTTGAACACTGTCATCTCACCCTTACATCCTCAAGACCACGCTGAACACTTTAAGCTCACCCTTAAAGCCCTAAGCCTACTCTTACATCCCCAAGACCATCCTGAAAACTGTAACCTCACACTTACATCCCCAAGACCACCCTGAACACTGTAATCTCACCCTTACACCCTCAAGACCACCCCCGGTAAGCCCTTTCACTCCATGTATATTTCCACCCCCATTTCCTGAAAGAACCCTCCCGTCCGCTTCCCAACCATCAAATAAAATCCGATTTTTATTGTTTTGAAGATGTTCGAATCGCGGTTTTTCCCAAAAATATTTGCAACAATAGAACTTAAACAACAAAACCATTGCCTGCGGCATGAAATCGAGAGGCAGATTACAATGGGTAATTTGAGACAATTACCACGGGAAAAAGGCTACAATTTGAGACGATTATCCTTGTTACGGTACATGAAGTTAGGAATGTCATTGTGGGTTTGAAGTCAGTGAAGTTTGCTTGTGAATACCATAGTAAATATTTATATGTAGTTAATTATGGGTATGGTAAAAATTTATTTTGCATAGTGCATGTACTAGGTTTTAAGGTTTACAAATAAGGTTTTGAAAATATGATTCTGGAATGTAAGTAATATATTAAATGGAAGCCGCGGGGGGGTGGGGGGGGAGGAGGTGGGGAAAGAAAGGACGGTGGTCGAAGAACATCTACTGTAAGATAAAGAAACAAACTAATAAGCCAGAAAACACAGTAAAAAATACAGTTTAAACTTATTGTACTACAAAAAATGTCTATCTTTCTTAAGAGTGAGAAGCGAGCCAAGCCCAACGTTTAAGCCCGGCCCGTTTTCATTTTCACCCCACGCCGGCTCGGCCCAAATTTTTTTATGTGCAAACGGGCCGGACTTTTCGAACCGAGACTTAATTTTCAAGCCCGTTCCAACCTTAATTTAGCTCAAAGCCAGCCCGGACCAATCCTAATTTTACTACAATGTAAACCATACTCTTTATTAATAGGTGACACTGTTTTGGTAACTAAGATAGAGGGCATAGAGCTAAGAGCTACAGCTAGAGCTAAAACTATGGCTAGAAATAGAGAGAAAGCTTAGACTCAAGGCTAGAGCTTTAGAATAGAGCTCTAGGCTAGGGCTCTGGGCTAGGGCTCTGGGCTAGGGCTCTGGGCTAGGGCTCTGGGCTAGGGCTCTGGGCTAGGGCTCTGGGCTAGGGCTCTGGGCTCGGGCTCTGGGCTAGGGCTCTGGGCTAGGGCTCTGGGCTAGGGCTCTGGGCTAGGGCTCTGGGCTAGGGCTCTGGGCTAGGGCTCTGGGCTAGGGCTCCGGGCTAGGGCTCTGGGCTAGGGCTCTGGGCTAGGGCTCTGGGCTAGGGCTCTGGGCTAGGGCTCTGGGCTAGGGCTCTGGGCTAGGGCTCTGGGCTAGGGCTCTGGGCTAGGGCTCTGGGCTAGGGCTCTGGGCTGGAGACAGAAAAGTCTGAAAAGATAATGTAAAAGATAACAATCACAATATACCACTAAACATCTACATAATGCTACAAATCTTGGAGCTTTTGTCATATTCTCTGGCAGCATCTTCCTCAATCCCAGCGGTCAATTCCGAGTAGCCGTCGATCGAATTCGAGTTTTCGTCTCGTTTCCGGTCGATAATCTCCCAAATCGACTTTTTCAAGCTCTGTTTCAAGAAGTACGTCTCCATCATACCCTTCCCTTTGACCGCAATAACACCCCGAGATACGAATAGGAATCGACCGGTACGTTCGGCGTACTCTTTGGCTATCGTGCTTAGATGGATTCGACCGGGCGGGCTGTGTGATTCCATACGAGAGGCGGTGTTTACTGTGTCACCGAAGAGGCAGTAGCTGAAAGTTTTCATTTTTTGTTTTGTAAAGAAAGTTCTTGCCATTTTATGTTTTGTAAAGAAAGTTCTTGCCATTTTTTGTTTTGTAAAGAAAGTTCAAGCCATTTTTTGCTTTGTAAAGAAAGTTCTTACCGTGGCATTTTCTGACCAACCACCCCCGCCACAATCGACCCAGTGTGAATTCCACATCGAATCGAAAAAGCTTTGTTTAAAATAGAATCCTGAACCGTACGACCTTCATACAACATGCCTAAGGCTACATTGCATATTCGTTCGGCATGATCTTCGTTTTTCTCTGGTGCTCCACTTACTGTCATGTAGGAATCTCCTACAGTTTCCACTTTGTAGGCCTAAAATGGGAAAAATCAATACTATGTGGATGGAATGTAAATTAAAGGGTACGCCAGGGCAGGGTAAGACAAAGCAAGGCAAGGCAAGGACAAGGTAGGGACAAAGCAAGCCAAGCCAATCCAAGCCAAGCTAAGACAATACAAGCCAAATTAAGCAAAGCCAGACTAAGCCAAGCTAAACTAAGCTAAGCAAAGCAAAGGCAAGCCAAGCAAGGCCACGCCATGCCAAGTCAAGCCAAGCTATGCCATGCCATGCCAAGCCAAGCCAAGCCAAGCCATGTATGCCAGGCTAGACCAAGTCAAGCCAAGCAAGACCAAGCCAAGCCAAGCCAAGCCAAGCCAAGCCAAGCCAAGCCAAACCAAACCAAGAAAGGCCAAGCTAAACCAAGCCAAACCAAAACCAGACTAGGCCAAGCCTGGCCAAGCAAGGCCAAGCCAGGCCAAGCCAATCCAAGATAAGCCAAGGCAAGCAACGCCAAGCCAAGCCAGAAGAAGCAAAGCCAAGCCAAGTTCAGCCTAGTCAAACCAATAGGGTAGGGTCGGGTAGGGTAGGGTAGGGTAGGGTAGGGTAGGGTCAATCTATAGTAAGACTTAACTCATGCATAGTGACCAACCGGTCGCATTTTGTAAAAAGGTCGTTTAACATTGACACAATCTGAGTTGGTTTACACAAAGCTACAACATTTTGGAAGCCAGGAACATCAGTGAACATTACTGTAACCGCTTGAAACTCTTTGGCATCTACTGCTGAGCCATTCATAAGTTGTTCGGCCACAGAAGCAGGTAACACTTCCTTTAGCAATTCATCTGTCTTTTGCTTTTCATGTTCTAGTTCCTTGGCCATTACTTCTAGTTTTTCATTATTAGCTTCTAGTTGTAAACTAAAAATATTTTAAATCTTATTAATGCCTTAAGGCTAATGTAATTTAAAATTTTTCAAAATTTGTTAAAATAAAAATCGACCGGTCGATAAATTAAAAAAAGTATTAAATCTAAATTTCTTGATTACAAAAATCGACCGGTCGGTAAACTTTAAAAATATTAAAATAACGTTTTTTAATTATCAACCAGTCGATAAGCACTTTTTTAAGCTTAAAATCATAAACTAAAAAATTTTTAAAAATTGACCGGTCGATAAATAAGAAATATATAAAATTAACATTTTTTGACTATCAACCAGTCGATATACACTTTTTCACCTTAAAAACATAAAAATAAGAAATTTTTGAAAATCGACCGGTCGATAAAATTTAATAAAAAATTTTTAATTTTTAAGTCCAACTTACTTTGCCTCAACATCGCTCAATCTCTGTTGATTCAGTAGAATCAAGTCTCTTGTCGCATCGTGTAATGGCATCGCACTAAGCCGTAGACCATATTGTAGTAGTTCAGGGATGCTGGTGACATAGGGTGAGCAAAGGTAGATGATTTTGTCATTCCCTGACATCAACATCATTTGGCCTTTCAGTTTTAGATGTTGGGCTTGGAGCTCGTCGCCTTCCCTGAAATGAGTGACCAGTGTAAGGGAAGATATGCCTTAGGCTTAGGCTTAGGTTTAGGCTTAAGCTTAGGCTTAGGCTTAGTCTTAGGCTTAGGCTTAGGCTTAGGCTTAGGCTTAAGCTTAGTCTTAGGCTTAGGCTTACCTTAGGCTTAGGCTTAGACTTAAGATTAAGCTTAAACTTAGGCTTAGGCTTAAGCTCTAACTCAGGCTTATCCTTACTTTAAGCTTAAGCTTAGACTTAGCCTTAGGTTTAAGCTTAGGTACAAACTTAGGCTTAAAATCAGGTTGATGCCTCATAAACAATGAAAAGTAAGCCTAAAGCTTTTTGAGTCTATAGTAAAATCAAAAAAGGTAGGCCTAAAATTAAGCCTTAAGCTATGCCTAAAAAGTTATTACGTAAGCCTAAAGTAAGGTAAACGTAAAAAATTTCACAAGTAAGCCTAAAACGATGCAAACCTAATAAAGAAGTAACAAAAGAAAATATAGAAAAAGTGTGAGAAAACAGAAGAAACTTACTTTCCAGTTTGATTCTGACTAATCGAGAGCGGTGACGTTCTGACTTGTAGCACAAACACTCCATTGATGAAATTGCAAATATTTTCAAAATCCAACGGGATCTGAGGCCGATGAATTTCGAAGATCCTCACTACTGGAGTCAGGTATTGTAGTAGGTCTGGGGTTATGTGACCTCTAAAGTTAATATTTTAAAAAATAACTTCAGGTAGGGCAAGGCAGCTACAAAACCTCAAACCTTACGCTAATGCCTTCCCAATCTGTAACAATTTGCAATCTCGATCCATGACGAAGTGATACGGTAGTAGATTGACAAAGTCTGTTTGAGTAATCTTTAAATCCCAATCAGTGCTGATTTCAATTTGAGGTTGAACGACATTGTAACCAGTTAGTGACCGAGCTGAGGTTTGTGACTCGGATCCTGGCGTTACTTGCTGAAAACATGTTTATTCATTTCAGGATTAACAAAGTTAAATCTAACAATTTGTAAGCTGGATCTAGATTACGCTTAGGCTTAAGGTTAAACGTGGTCCTTTTTCCCGCTTTAACTCAACTTGTTTGGGCTTAAGTTCAGGCTTAGGCTCAAAATAAAGCTTAGGATCAATATTCAAACTTATGTTTAGGCTAAGGCTCAAGCTTATTTATAGGCTTAGGCTTAAGCTTAGGTTTAGATTTAGGTTAAGGTTTAGGATTAGGTTTAGGTTTAGGCTTAGGTTTAGACTTAGGCTTAAGCTGAGGCTTAAGATTAGGCTTAAGCTTAAGCTTAGGCTTAGGCTTAGGCTTAAACTTAGGCTTAGGCTTAGACTTAGGATTCGGCTTAAACTTAAGCTTACATTTATGAGCAGACATAATCTTATAATCACACTTAGAATTAAATTTGAGTAAAACGACTAAAAAACCATGCCAAAAATGATCAAGTTTTCGTGGTGGGACCCAAAAAAGTACTTTTTTGTAACCAAATTTGGCATTTTGGCCTTTACCTCAGTATTTAAAAATAGTAAATGACTATAGTTAACATAATATGACTTACCTTAATAATAAAAACCACATGTTCCTCAATCCTCTCCCCGCTAGCCACTTGAACACTCCTCTGGGTTCGTCCACTGACTGTCATTGTGACCTCTATATTGAATATTCTTCTTGCCACTTCTCTTATCACCCCTTTAACAATAGGGTAGAGTCCAGCACGACCAGTAAAGTAATGTAATGTGATTGTGTCATCGTCGTTCTCTTCGCAACGGAACGATGGGCCTCGGAGGTTGGCCTTGTAGACAACATGGTCGATAAAGTAGTGGAGAGAGTCGAGATTGTTCAGAAAGGTCTGAAATTTTAGGATGAAATGACAAAAACTTTCTTTACAAAACAAAAAATGACAAAAACTTTCTTTACAAAACAAAAATGACAAGGACTTTCTTTACAAAACGAAAAATGGCAAGAACTTTCTTTACAAAACACAAAATGGCAAGAACTTTCTTTACAAAACACAAAATGGCAAGAACTTTCTTTACAAAACAAAAAAACAAAAAATAGCAAGAACTTTCTTTACAAAACAAAAAATGCAAATGTTTAAAAAGCCAAAGTCAAGTTGAAGATTTGCAATGCATTTTGCACTAAAAATCTTCCACTTACCATTCATTTTTTAAAGCTTAAGAAATTTGGTTGATTTTTAATCCTTAGGCTTAGTTTTAGGCTTATCTTTAGCTTTTGCCCTAAGATTAACAACATTAAACGCTGCGTATTTTACCTTCAAATCCGGGCTCAAGTAACGCATCAACTCGTCCCAGCCCAACTCCATTGTGTATGCAATGAGTTGTATTCCATACATCTCCCAGACATCTTCGCGTGTGATCTCTGGAACAAAACAAGGATTAATTAACGATAAGCTACTGAATTTTTATTATTGAATATTATGAAATCATTGCGGTAAAACTAGCCTTGAGATTAAGAGGTCAGTTTTCGATTAAAGGCAAGACTTAGAATTAGGTTAAATCTGAGCTTAGGCTGAGGCTTAAGCTTAGGCTGAGACTTAGGCTTAGGCTTAGGCTTAAACTTAGGCTTAGGCTTAAGTTTAAGTTTTAACTTAGGCTTAGGCTTAGGCTTAGTCTTAGGCTTAGGCTTAGGCTTAGGCTTAGGCTTAGGCTTAGGCTTAGGCTTAGGCTTAGGCTTAGGCTTAGGCTTAGGCTTAGGCTTAGGCTTAGGCTTAGGCTTAGGCTTGGGCTTGGGCTTAGGATTAGGCTTAGGCTTAGGCTTAAGCTTAAACTTAGGCTTAGGCTTAAGTATTAAAAAGAATGATCACTTACTTGCTAGAGCACTTACAGCATCAACAATAGCGTAAGTGTCTGAGTCAGGGTAGTAATGATTGACGATATTTTCTTTGCCTGATTCGAAGCCTGCTTGGAGCCTAAAATGAAATTTGAAAAACTCAACTCGTCAAACTGATTTTCAATTTAGGCAATAATTGACACCCTCATATAAACTATATTGGTCGACTTACATAGCCTTTTTCCAAAACTCTTCTCCATACGTTTTAATGAAAAGTTGTCGAATACTGTCGTGTATTAGGCCAAACTAAAACAATATCGTCTTGCACTAACATTATATAGACTTAAGAGCATTTTTTCAATTTAGAAAGGTAGAAAAATTAACTTACCATAGTACTATGAAGCTACTTCAACAATAAAAATGACCAAAATGCCAAAATTAAACTTCAAAATTCAAAAAAAAATTTTTTTTAATTCGAAATTTCAATTCTCCTTCTACTGCCAATTCTAGTCCTAGACCTACAACAATAATATTTTGATCGATGTTATGCTGTAAGCCCAAAATGTCATGACAAAACGGAAAATATATGGTTATTTCGATTACAAATACTTGGATGACACGCAGTTTTCACGGAATTCGAAATAATTTCTTCCGCCAAATGACATTTATTATGCGAATATTACAACAAGGTGGCTGCTATGACGAAAATAATCACTTACCCTACCCTACCCTACCCTACCCTACCCTACCCTACCCTACCCTACCCTACCCTATCCTACCCTACCCTACCCTACCCTACCTTATCCTACCCCACCCTACCCTACTCTACCCTACCCTACTTTACCCTACCTTACCCTACCCTACCCTACCCTACCCTACCCTACCCTACCCTACCCCTACCCTACCCCTACCCTACCCTACCCTACCCTACCCTACCCTACCCTACCCTACCCTACCCTACCCTACCCTACCCTACCCTACCCTACCCTACCCTACCCTACCCTACCCTACCCTATCCTACCCTACCCTACCCTACCCTACCCTACCCTACCCTACCCTACAACCTAAAAATTTAATAAATTTAGCGATAAACAACAGACATAGCCCCGTACGTGACACATGCAGACGGACCAGATTATCGCCCCATTGCCATACTCATCGTACGTCCTGCTGATTTAAAATTCGTAAAGGCAGAACTAGAATAAATTAGAAGCGAATCAACGCAAAGACTAATGGACTCTAACAAGACGGCTTTAATTATTCATCTACATATAACTAGTTTGACGTAAACCACTTGGCTATGTTAATTAAAAGTTTTAATTAAACAATTTTAAATTAATTTTAAATGTTTTAAATTGAGAGATAGATAGATAAATATATGTATAGATTTTTAGTTTAAATTTAGCGCCTACTATTAAAAACAAGAGCATAAAGATATACACTTAGGACACCTATAACAACATAGAAAACTCAAAAAAAAACTTAATCATCAACTCAAAAACCATGATTCTAGACCAGAATTTAACAAAAAAACTGAATTTCAAAATTTCGAAAGCTTAAAATCAAAAATAAAACAGTTACGATCAAAAACTATTTGTCCAAGGCGAACTACCTACTACAATATGTGTAATTTACTTCTTTTTTTTAATTGAAAAATAGAGCACGCATAGGTTTCTGCTACTGCCATTTCAAATCTGTAATTGAAAAAATAGACCAAGTTGGTCAAGAACTGACCAAGATAACAAGACCTTTCTCTCCATTACCTACATACAAAATAGACTATACCACCTAAATCCTTCCACGGCCAGTTTGAACTTTGAATTAGTTTAACTTAAAAATAGTGTTTCTAGATCAGAATTTGAAAGTAAAGCTCGTTTTTAAAACCTCAAAAGCCTAAAATCAAAAATAAAAAGGTTATGATGTAAGCAGTTACTATATGTAGGTGACTCATATATTTACTTTATACGACTTAAGTACTTTTAAAGTCTAAATATCAAAATCTTGCAAACATTACAACTTTTCTAGTACCATTTCACATCCTCAGCAGAAAAATAAGCCGAATTGGTCAAGAACTAGCTGAGTTATGAACACTTTTGTCTCCACACCTTTAAACATGACCTATGATAACACTGTAAAATTTTTTTATTTTGATTATCCTTTGACTTTTTTTCGTATTTTTAATTTTTTTTACATTACCTTGTTAATTTCTAACCAAATCGACCTAATTTCTGAAAAGTTATTTGATATAACGTTCTTTGTTGACCCTTCGTCTCAATCATTTGTGACACTTCGTCCCATTTCTCTCGGGCGCTTTCTTTTTTCGAGCGAGAATTTCGCAAGCTTTTTTCGCTCGATTTATTGAAATTGGATTAAAAGCGAATAGTCTTTTTTGGCATTTTAATTATTTTTATTTTCTTTTATTTAATATTTTTATATTATACTTCGACTAACAGCTCTTTTTTATTAGTTTAGGTGATAAATCTTGAATTTATACTACTATTGTGAAGTATTTTTACGTAAAGGCTTTATATCCTTGCGATTTTTAAAAGTTTCAGCCGATTTTCTTTTGTAATTTTAGGTAACAAATAAGTTTTATTCGATTTTTTTGTTTTAGGTATTAAATTGAGTGTTTTAGGTTATAAACGAGGTATTTTAGGTAATATATAGCTATTTATTGAGGTTTTTTGGTATTTTAGGTAACACATAGCTGGTTATTGTTGTTGTTATTTTAGGTAAATAGTATGTTTTGAATGATCTGATTTGTTAGCTTTACATTGATATTTATCCTTAAGTTGGTACGGATTGATGTTTTTTGGTACTTTAGGTAACAAAATAGCTTTAATTCATGGTTTTTCGTTTTCTAGGTAACAAACATGTTTAAAGATCTTATTATCAGTTATTTTAGGTATAAATAGACTTAAATCTGACTTTTTTTTTGTATTTTAGGTAACAAATTGAAGATTTTCTTATTATTTTTTAAAAATATTGGCTTTTTGATTTTAAAATTTCGTAGATTTTGTTCAGCTTTGTCTATAAATTTTAAGAAAAAAAAAGGGGGGGGAGGGGGAGACTTAAAAATTTCGGTTTAGAAACTATTAGGTGCCGACATAAAGAACCCGTCATACTTTTCCTGTAATTTCTTGTAAAAAATGGCGGGTTCTTTATGTTGGCACTTAATAACAGGAGGTGAGGTGTGATTTTCTTTGAAATTTTTTTTGTGAGGTGGGGGGGGAAGATGTAAATTTTTTATGGGGGTAAAATTTTTTTTTATTTTTAAATTTTGTTTTAAAGTGTAATAGGGAGGTCTAAATAAAACATTTTTTAATTTTTTTATTTTTATGTTGGGCGGAGGAGGGGGGAGGAAAGGGGGTGGATTTTTTGACTTTTATTTTTTACTAGAATATAACATAAAACATTTTTTTTTGTTTTTTTGGGCCGGCTCCTTTGTACTCTTCTTCTCCTTTTGTTTAAAATCAAAAAGGAGAGGAAAAGCACAAAAATTTTTTCATCGCTTTATCGTGATTACAACGTTACGATTAATCACTATTGCAGAAACTTTTTGAATCTAATTCTCACCATTCCAGGTATGGCAGCCTTTGTCTACCTCCTAGACCATCGCCAGAAGGTCTTGGGTGAGGCCTTCTCCGTCAAGACCCCGAGCTACATTTCGAACTTCAAAGAGTTGGAGCAGGAAGTGCGAAGACAAGCAAGAATCAGCCCGATGGCAAATTTTTTGGCCCTAAGGGCACAAATGGGCATGAATCAGTTCGTTCAGATCGAGATCGATGATGAAAACTTCAACTGGCAGTTTGAGTATCAGATGGTGTTTGGCTTTCAAAAGAAGTTGGATGTGGTAAGGGTTTATGGTTTTAGGTTGGTTTTGTATTGGGAATGGGGATTTTTGTTACCTAAAATAATGTTTTTTGGGATTTGTTACCTAAAATTAAGATTTTTTAAAAATTTTGTCACCTAAACTAATTTTTTTAAAATTTTGTTATTTAAAATAATTTTTTTTAATTTTGTTACCTAAAATAATGTTTTTTGAATGTTGTTACCTAAAATAACAATTTTCAAATTTTTGTTGCTTAAAATTATGTTTTTTGAAATTTTGTTACCTAAAATAACATTTTTTAAAATTTTTGTTACTTAAAATGATTAATTTATGAAATTTTGTTATCTAAAATAGAGTTTTTTGAATGCGAAGATTATTTTTGTTTTTTAATTGTAATTATGGATTTTCTGACCTAAAATAACACTTTTTTCTAAATTTGTTACCCAAAATTATATTTACCCCAATTTCAGTGCCCAGACCTGCCATTTGCACCAAAAATGAGAAATTTCCTTACATCGGTCGAGGAAATCAAGCGAATCAAACAAGAAGAAGCTGAAGACGATGACATTATCTTCCTACCAAGTCCAGATGTAGCACGAGTTCATAAAGTGTCGGTATCAACGGAGCCACCGGTCGAAGAAGTTGTGGAGATTATGCCAGAGGCTTCGGACGAGCTCGAGGAGGATTATATGGGATTCGCATTGAATTTGAAGGTAAGTATGAGTGATTTTGACGGAGTTTTGGGGGTTTTAGGTAACAAAGTTGAAATTTTTTAGATTTTAGGTAACAAATTTGATTTTTTTGAGATTTTAGGTAATAGAAATGAAATTTTTTACATTTTAGGTAACAAAAATGGATTTATTAGATTTTAGGTAACAAAAATTTAATTTTTTATTTTAGGTAACAATTTTTTCCTTTTTTAAGTAAAAAATCAGTTTTTTTATTTTTTGTTACCTAATTTTCTTATTTTTCAGCAAGAAAGAGGTTCACAAGCCTACGAACCTCATATTTATGATGACGATGTTCCAGCAGCTTCGAATCATGTTGAAATCAGTTCAGAAGAGCCAGCCGAAGAGAAACCCTATCGGATTGAGACTTATGGTCAGTCAGAGGCGTGTGAATCTGAAGATGAACATTGTGAAGCTACAAATGGGGCTTTTGTAGCTACAAATGGTGCTTTTGGAGCTCAGAATGGTGCTTTTGGAGCTACAAATGGGGCTTTTGGAGCGGCAACTGGGTCTTCTGGAGCCACAAGTGTTACTGGTTCAAGGACGATGCTTTCAACGTCTTTACCTAGGCCTACTGAAACTTTTGTTAAGCCTAGAAGTCCAACTACGAAGCCTAGTAATCCGTCGAAGAAGCCTACAGGTTCAGCTCAGCCTTCGAGCACCCTTGCCAACCCTACAAGCCCAGCTAAGCCTACAAGTCCAGCTAAGTCTACAAGCACTCCAGCTAAGCCTACGAACTCAACGCCTAAGCCAATCAATGTGCCGTACCATGTTCACCGTACGGCTACACCAAATTCGGAAGCAGCTCCTACTGGCGTCAACTTGAGTACGACAAGCTCTGGAGTGGCTTCGAGTACTACCAATGCGAGTACGAATGGTTCCGGAGTATCTACTACTAATGCCAATAATAGTACGAGTTCAAATGCTATTGGTAATGGAGCTACCGTGAGCAATGCTACGCATCTTTCTTCTACTGGAGCCACCGTGGACAATACTTCCTATGTTTCTGCTACTGAAGCCACCTTGAACAATGGCACTCCTAATGGTCTATATGTTCTGTCTACTGAAGCCGTCGTGAATCAGCCTACTGGTCCCACCGCGAAGAGCAAGAACTCAACTGCCGCTACGATATGTCTAAACATCGACTCGACTTCAACAACACCGTCAAATCGACCAGAAGCGGCTACACATTCGAATTTCTGCTCGAATTGCGCACTCCCAGAAGAGTTACGTCAACAATTCGAAAAGAGCTTGACTGCTTCACAAGCACGCCAGTTCCAACGTGAAGTGCCAGCCAGTGCCAGATTTCAACAGAGCCGGCCAGGATTCATGAATGGGCCTAATGGAGCAGCTTCTTATCAGAATTTTGTTAGAAGCTACGGTGGGAATCAGAATTTGATGAATAGTTACGGTGGAGTTCAGAAACTGATGAATAGTCACGGTGGAGTTCAGAATCTGATGAACAATAGAAGTCAGAATTCGATGAACAGTCACGGTGGAATCCAGAATCCAGCTCAGAATCCTATGAACAATGGAAGTCAGAAACAGAAGTCAAGCAGAAACTCTGGAACTCAGAATCCAGCCAAGAATCCGAAGAACGTTCACGGTGGATCTTCAACTCAAAGGCAATCACAATATCGCACCTTTGACTTGACCTCACCCAGCAGGAAGAACCAACGACATCCTCAAATGCAGAAGGCCAAACAGATGGCGGCCAATATGATGCACCCAATGAACTCAGGTCATGCTCTGGCTTCCAATCCAGCTCAGAATCAAGGTTATGGAAGAGGGAATCCGTCGATGAGTAGGCCATATTCTCAAGGAAATTTGGCTTCGAATCCAGCCCATAGCCAAACCAATTCGGTCCAAAATCCAGCCCATGCCCAGGCCATGTCATCGTCAAGTTATGGCCAACCAAATCCGGCTTCGACTCCACTCACAGTCCAAACTCCAACCTCTATTATCCCGAACAACTCGACCACGAATCCATATTTGAACACCTCACCTCGAGATGCATCAAGCACAACTCTGGACCCAATGGCATTGCTGGCTTCACTCAAGTTTTCTTCGACACCAGCGGCCAAAAAACGACCCAAAGCCGGAAATGTGAAGAAAGGAGCTTCAAGTCAAGTTGGAACAGCTAGAAATGGGCCTTCAAGTCAAGATGGAGCGGTTGGAAAGGGTCCAAATGAAGGTTTGGCTGGAGGAGCTTTGAACCAAGGTGGAGCGGCTGGAGGTGCTTTGAATCAAGTTGGAACAGCTAGAAGGCCTCTAGATGAAGCCTTGACGTCAAGAAGACTCTCAAATGAAGCTAGAACAACATGGAACACTCAAAGCGAAGTTGGAACAGCAATGAACGGCCAAAACCAAGCTGGAACATCCTGGAACGGCCAAAACGAAGCCGGAACCTCAAGAAAACGGCCTTCTAACGAACTGACAACATCAACAAAGAAGCGCCGACGATTATCAGCCCACGTTATCATGGAAGAACAAAAGAAGTTGTTGACTCATACTCTGAGCGACATCGTATCAAAATCTCCTAACTGTCGCGATCTATGGGGGCAAATCCTGGTCGGACCGGGTGACTACAAGTTTTATGGATGCTTGGCGGACTGTTTGGCTGCTTTTATCGTGCAAAATTCGTAGGTTTTGGTTTTTTAAAAATATTTTATGGTACTTTTGCATTTGGACAGTGGTAAATTTTTTTGTTTGCGGGGGGGGTTAAAATTTGTTTTGTGTTAAAAAACAGAAAAGGGCGTATAGGCTGAAAGGACAATTTTTGGGTGAGGTAAAGTTTTTTATTTGGGAGGGTGGGGGGGGAAGAGAAATTTTTTTTGTATATTTTTGAAAAAAAAAATGTTGTCAAGCAGAAAAAATTATCCTACCTACCCTTTTCTATTATACCTCCCCCTTACTTTTCAGACTTATTAGTAATATATGAGAAAGTGAGTTATAAGGGTAAAAATTAAGAGTAAAAATGAACAAAACAAATAGTTTTGATTTCTTTCAGGAACTTGTTCACAAAATCTCAAGTAGTCGATGTGGTCAAGGAGTACACCAAGCAGTACAAACACGTGGAACTCGAGCTGGTCTTGAAACGAATTGACAGCCGGCTGAAGAAATATTTTAATATGAAACATAATATTGACTAAATTAAATTTTTTATTGTAACCTTGACTCATTTATTTAACGTTCTGCTAAGTTTTTTACTCATTAAACTGTAATCTTATTTTATTGGCACTTTTCTGTTGTTTAAGCTACTTTTTAGTCTAGTTTTTCAGTTTTTTCTTGAGGTGATTGATCTTTTTTTGTGATCTTTACTATTTTGGAATAATATTTGGACTGGTTTGTCTGATTAATGTTGTCCTTGGCGGTACTTTACCTACTTTTCTTTGTGATCTTTGCCATTTTGGACTAATTTTTGGTCTGGTTAATGCTGCCCTGTGGTACTTCATCTACTTTCCTTTGTGATCTTTCCTTTTGGCCTACTTCCAGGTCTAGTTCTCACAGTATCTTCATTTTTTGTGATTTTAAAACTAATTGAATCTCAGAACTTACATTGTATTTTTTGGATTCCAACTTTTGCTCTCAGGGTATTCCTTTGTAATAATATTTACTTCCTAAAAAAATTCACTTAATATTAATAATAATAATAAAACTAATCGATGCTAGTTTATTGGAATTTGTTGAGCTATGTATACTCTACCCTATCTTTAAAAAATTTTTAAATTAAGCCTAAAACCAAATATTTAAAGTATTTATTCGCCTTTTTTGCAAATCCCAACAAAATCCGTGGTGAACATTTCCTTAAACGCTGCAAAGTACCCAATTGGGGGTTTGGGTTCTTCTGGCACAGTCAAAGATAATCCTTCTGTGACGTTTTTAGTCGCTTCCACTGTTTTTTCGGTCGATTTGATGTCTTCAATATGTTGTTCATTTTCACCTTGAGGTAGATCAGCATTGTTAATGGAACTTATCGATGAAATCATCGATGATAAGGCTTTGTTGGACTGGAATTGGTATTCTTTGTAAAAATTGGAATTTTTTAAGATTCTAGGTAACAAAATTTTTTAACAATGAATTTTTTTTAGTTTATGTGACAAAATGTTTTGAAAATGAATTCTTTTGAATTTTAGGTAACAAAACTTTCGAAATATAAAATTTTTATAAATTTTAGGTAATAAAACGCTCAAAAACGCCAAAACTCACATGATCCGAGCCATGTATACCTTCAACAACACGTCGTTGCTTTAATCCAGACATTATTTTAGATGTTTGAAGAGGAAAATGAAAAGATTTCCTCCAAAAAGATACCTCCCGAACCGAATAAACTCACTTTGAACCAGTTCGCACCCAATTTTTAACAATAAAACAATGGAACTTTTTTGCTGTTTTCAGCAAGTTTCCATGTCATTTTAGGTTGTTTACTGGAGGGTTTTACATTTTTTTTCAATTTAAAAAAAATTGAAAAACGTGGATCGAATTTAGAAAATTAAAACTTATTATTAAGGTAAAGCAGGGCTAGGATATATGGCTAGCGTAGGGTAAGAAAAGGGGTGCGGGTAGAGAAACATTGCTAGGGTAGAAGCGTTTTTTAGGACATGGTAGGGTAGCTATGTAGGGAGTGGTAGCGTAATTTGTAGATAACGCAAGGTAGGGCAGGTTTATGTCAAAAAATCAATTTCATGTGGACGAAATGTATATGTTGGTAGGGTAGGGTAGAATAAGGTAGGGTAGGGTGGGTAGGGTAGGGTAGGGTAGAATAGGGTAGGGTAGGGTAGGGTAGGGTAGGGTAGGGTAGGGTAGGGTAGGGTAGGGTAGGGTAGGGTAGGGTAGGGTAGGGTAGGGTAGGGTAGGATAGGGCATGGTAGAGCAGCTTTACCTAACTATCATCCACCTCATCCCAATTAATCACCCCTTATATAAACAGTGTAAACCTTCAAAGATTACTCGACACCGGTTCCCAACGCAATCTTTGAAGAGCGCTGAAACCGCCGAATTCTATTTTTAGCCACAAACTATGAGCTGGATCTGGTTTCGGCTCCTCGAAAATAACCTTGCTATATTTAGCTAATCCAACTGATAAGGTTGTTTTGATAATCAGAGATTAAACTGAATGTTTAACAACATAATACTGTAAATTTTTCGGTTAGGGCAGGCCAAATAAGAAAAATCAATTATATGTAGACGAAATGTAAAAAAGTAACGTAGGGTAAGGGAGAGTAGAGTAGGGTAAGATACAGTAAGGAACAGTAGTACAGGGTAGAATATCAGAGCCGGGTAGAGTAAAATAGGGATGGGTAGGCTATGACTGGGTAGAGAAGGGCAGGGTAGGGTAGAGCCGAATAGGTTAAAGTATAGGCAGGGTAAGGTAGGTATATTCAATTTTCAGGCCATTTTTAAGTTAAAAGCTAAAAATTTTAAAAAACTATAGTTTCATTTAGGCTTAAAAACAAATAATAAAAAGTAGTTTTAGGCTTAAGCTTTTAGGCTTAAATTTGAACCAAAGTCATTTTCAGGTTAAAAAATGGTTTTATGATTTATTTTTTTGAAATTCAACATTAAAAATTTTTTAGACTTGGAAACAATGATTGTAGGCTTAAAATTATTATTTAACAAAATTATGAGCTTCTTACTCTAAGCTTAAAAGGAAGTTACTCGATTTGCCCGGCTCTGATTGACTTCAAACTTTTTATAAAGAAAGATCATGTAAATATAAGACCTTCAGCAAACTACTAAATCGCACTTTCCAGTCAATCTCAAGAAAATCGAGATCAAAAAATTACGTTTTGAATTTCCCGCCAAATAGGCATTGTGTTTCAAGCTTATAACTTCGGCATTTTTTAACTTTTAACCTTTTTCTTTGATATATTACTAGAATTCCTTTAAATGAACCTACATTTTTAAACTCGTAAGCATAGCTTGTGTGGAAAACCGAAAAAAGTGCTTGAAACACAATGCCAAATTTGCCTAATTGGCGAGAAATCCAAAAATTTTAAATTTAAAATTCAAAAGCGCAAGCTAAAATTTTTTATGGATCATATTGGTGGTAGAAAGAATTCATATAAAAATATTGGGTTGATTCTAAGCGGTGCAGGTAGGGTACTTTCTTAGTTTAAGTTTTACGTCATTCAAGTTCATCTGATTAAAAACCCAAAATCATTTGATAGCTAGTCGTTAAGTTATCATTATGTCTTGTTTTTATTAATTATCGCATTGCGATTCAGTTGAAGTGCACTCCACTAATCTGTGTGACGTTGACTTGAAAGAAGAATCAGCCGATGTATCATGGTTAATATAACAAATGGTGTGTTTATCACATGCTTCTTAGAATAGCTATTCTATACCTACCCTACCCTACTCTATCCTATTTTACTCTACCCTACCCTACTCTATCCTACCCTACGCTATCCTATCTTACCCTACCCTCCCTACTCTTCCCTACACTATTCTACTCTACCCTACTCTATCCTACTCTACCCTACCCAAACCCCTACTTCATACAGTACTCTTAGTAAGCTTCTACAACACCTTACCTGGCCCTACAGTACCTCCACTAAGCCTTTCATTACCGTACTTAGCTACTCTACCTTAGGTAATTATAGTACTGTCCGTTTAAAGCTACAGTAAGACAAGTTTGAAGGCCAGGGTAGGGCTAGCTTTAGGCTAAGTTAAGGCTAGTTTTAGGCTAAGGTAGGACAAGTTTGAAGGCGAGGGTAGGGCCAATTTAAAGCTAGATCAGGGCTAGTTTCAGGCTCGGAAATGGGTGATTCAAAGATAGGGTAAGGCTAGTTTTAGGCTAGATTAAGACCAGTTTTAGGCTAAAGTAGGACGAGTTTAAGACTAGAGTGGAACTTGTTTGAAGGGGTAAGGATAGTTTCAGGCTAGGGTAGGACCAGTTTAAAGCTAGAACAAGACCAGTTTTAGGCTAGAATAAGGCTAGTTGTAGGCTAGAGTAGGTGGGGTAGATAAAAACTCGAAATTTTTTTTTTTAAATTTATCTTATTCTGTACAACATCATATATACATACAACGCAAAATATACTGTAACATGAGATTCTTTAGACTCAAAAAAAGGCGTTTTAAACCTAAATTTAAGCCCGTAGGCTTACCAAAAACACTTTATCCAAAGAAGCCGTAGTTATTGTATGGTGAATACCCGCCTCGATTGTAGCTGTTGTAGCTATTGTAGCTGTTGCCACCGCCGAAGCCGAGGCCACCACCGTCTGGGGACAAGATGGTACCCGAACCAGTCCAGTCGGATTGAGCTGATACTGTAGTCAAGGCGAGAAGGGTGACAAGGAGTAGGAAGATCAGTTTGGACATCATTTTAGGTTGGGCGTGGGTTTTTGGGAGTTAGTTCAGGAGGTGGTAGAGTTTGAAGGCTTATTGATGATTACGGTGGATTCAGAAAGCTTTTTGAAGCTCACGGTAAACTCAGAAGGCTTCTTGAGTTCACTGTGAATTCAGAAGGCTTTTTAGAGTTCACGATGGATTCAGAAGGATTCTTGAAGAGCACGGTGGATTCAGAAGGCTTCTCAAAGATCACGGTAGATGCGGAAGGCTTCTTGAGTTCGCTGTGGATTCAGAAGGCTCTGTAGAGTTCACGGTAGATTCAGAAGACTTCTTAAAGATCACGGTAGATTCAGGAAGCTTCTTGAAGAGCACGGTAGATTCAGAAGTCTCTTCAAAGCCTGTAAAATCTTCAAAAGCCTTGTAAAACCAGTAGAATCCCTTCAACTGCTTCCTGTAGCACTCAGTAGATTCAGAAAGCTTTAAAAATGAAAGTGGTGATGTATCTCCGCTGACGGTTATATACTTTATGTATCACTGATGAGGGCGTGGCAGATACGTAACTCGCAAAAAAAAATTTTTTCCCGAAAAAAAATTTTAGCTAGATAAATGAAGAAGGGGTGGTGACTTTAATGTTTACGTAAGAGTATAGCGTAATATTACTATGTATGACTATATATAATACGTATGTCTATATACACTACGTATGACAATATACACTACGTATAACTATATAGAATAAGAACTTAGGAGTCAGATGAACAAGTGATCAACCAACGATCATTGAATGAGTTACTCCTCACTTATATTTTGGTTCACGCGGAGAGAAGATTTGAAAAAATATGTCACAGTTAAGGAGTGACATGTTTGTATCATATGTTGTTATACCTCAAGTGTGACTACTTTATTCTATTTTACCTTGACCCACCCAACCCATAGCTCTAAAATACCCTGCCTTGCCTTATCTTGCTCTGCCATACCTTACAGTACCCTGACTTACCCTATCCTACTGTACCATAATTTACCCTACCGTACCCTACTTTACCCTACCCTATATTACCCTCCCCTCCCCTACCGTATCCTACCTTATCCTACCCTACCGTACCCAACCCTGACTTACCGTACCTAACCCTACTCTACACAACCCTATCCTACCCTACACTACACCTGCCTTACTACAGCTTGACCTTATTGTACCCATGCCTTATCGTATCCAAGCCTTACCCTTTTATAGCGTTTGCTTATCCTAGCCTTACTTTACTCATGCATCATCTTTGTCTAGCTATGGAAGCGTCTTACCGTTCCATAGCGTCCCCGTACCTTAGCCTTACCGTTCCCAAGCCTATCCCTACCCTACTCTACTTCTACCCTCTTTACTCCTACCCTACTCTATTTCTACCCTACCTTAGCCCTACGTCATGAATAATACAAAATAATGTAAAAACCTGTGTTGAAAGCGACAAACAACTTTGATCGTTGGAAAGTTCACAAAGTTCCGTCATCGATCAACCGAGTGCAATCGCACCGAGCGCGTTTCAGCGTTCGAATCAATTAAATACTGGCGTCGTGAGTGGATCCAAATTTGTTTTTTAGTTACTTGAACATCATTTTGGCATTCCCAATACAGTTGAACAACAATATTAAAAAACCTAAGAAACTATGAAGTAAATTCGGGCAGATTAGACAGCCTCCTTACCAAAACTAATATCAAGCTCACAAATAAGGTTTTACTCATCTCGAATCCCAAAATTATACCTACACTTGAAAAATCCAAAATAATGTTCTTGATGTCTATGATAACATAAAATCGCCTCATTATACCAGAAATATTATTCTTAAGTAACCAAAACCTATTATAACACATTATAAACATTCTTATGAAGCTCAGAAATTAATTTTTATTCGTTTCCAACGCAGACTTCATATCCAAAAATTAAAAAACCAATGAGAGCACTCTATATTGCCTATGATAACATCAAATCGAGCCCCCACGTTCATAATTCACCAAAATAACAATCCAAAACTAACTATCATAAAAGGTTACGAACATTCTTCTCGACCTTTCAAACACAAATTTAGCCCCTTCCAACATCTTCATCATACCTAAAAGTTAAAAAGCAATAATAATATGCATACCTGAACCCCATATTCATCTCCAATCGTAAGCCCTTGCCTTTCTTGTTACCTCATTCTTCATTGCTTTTGGTATTGTTCCTTGAAATTGTAGCTGATGTTCTTTTCAAAATATTTTTGCTAATTTTTAACAATTTTTACTCGAAATGCCACAAGTTATTGGAAAATGTTACGAAGTGTATCAAAGTTATCGGTTTCCAAAGAAAATTATAAAATTCCGCAAGAACCTTTGAACTTTTTGTTTTTCAACGTGATATTTGGCTATTATCTTGTGTTTTCAGCAAATATACGTGTTGAAATTGATGGGTATGATGCTGGTCATCTCAAATGAAGTCAAATCGCCTTCAACGAATCATAATCTGCTGCAACTCTGTCAGATTCTGCGGCCGATGGCAAATCTCGTCATGGTTGAGCTTCGTCTTTGTTCGAATTGAGTTGGACGGTAGATTAACATCTTCTGCAAATAATTTGGGACGTGGAGCGCTTGAATTCAGACGATGTTTTAAAGACTTGTTGAGATTTGCTAAGTGATCATGAGCTTTCGTTTGCGTTTCTCCAGAAGATTTGACTGTGTAATGGGCAAAATGTAAGTTTAAAAGTTGTATTTCTTTCTTCTTAGGCAAAGGTAAAAAGTCATTTTTGGCTTAAAGTTTTGCAATCTTTAACGTTGACAACAAGTTTCTCGAGCCATGGTTAAAAGAAGTCATGGATAATATGAACTTGCTGGTTTTTTATTTTTTCTGAATTTTAGAGACAAAATGCTAGTGTTAAAAGTTGCGCGGGTATATTCTTCAGGCTTTGAAGTGCATTTAAGGTTTTGGTTTTATCAAAATTCATTAAAAAGGTCAAATTTCCCTATCACATATCAAAAATTAATGAATAATATAATTTTTCAGATTTTTCCCGTTTTTAAACAATTATGCAAATTTGGACACGTCATGGCTATAAAAGCCGGGATTTTGTTGGAATCGGCTCACTTTCACTTTATCGGGCGTTCAGACCAGTCGATATGAACTTACCAGCAGCATACGCAGCGATTCAAGCGCTGGCGCTCATCAAGGTGGATGATGGTGTGGAGCTCTGTGTGGATTTCATCCCCTTCAAGGTGGCCAATAAGTCCATTTCCGCTTCAAAGCACTCGTATTGCTCCGGCAACTTGATGGAGGAGACACGTCTAGAGTAAGTTATTGAGTTTGCTTTTTGATTTCGGATTTTAGTAGCTACTTACTGTCGGACCCTGTTGCAAAGCCACGGATCTTGCCGCGAGATACAGATATTCGAACTGTTGTTCTTGTTGGAGAGTTACAGTCTGGGTGAGTTTTGATTTTGCAAGTTGTTTTATGTTTTTCTAAATTACGTAAAATAGAATGCTAAAGGTTTAGATAATAATTTTTATTTTTTAGGGCAACAACCTATATCAACTTTTATTCTTTGGAAAGAAGAGCTGTGGGTGTCATTTTGGGAGGTTTTCCAAAACCAAGTGGAGGACTTGAGGCTAGCACTGCGAACGAGCACGTTTTTTATCAAGGCTGCGGTAAACTTAAGACCTCAATGTATAAAGACATTGTTTCCGAATTACCGTTTGTGCCTTTGAAGTTGAACGATATAAATGTGTGCGGCTTAAAGGTTGGTCACACTTCAAATGGCACAATCTGGAAGGATAAAGGCCAATGTCGGAAGTTGGTTCTCGACGGGGGAGCGAGTTTGGTGCCAGTGCTGTGCTCTAATGAAAATGAGCTCATGTTCACGATGGTAAGTTGTTTTTTTGTTTTTATTGCTGTAGTAGTAAAGTAATTTTTTGGGCTTTTAAAATTTTTATTGTGTTTTCTTTAGCAAATTCAAAAATCTTGTTAGTGATTGCTTTAGTAGTAGAGTAATATCAATTTTTGTTGATTTAGTGATGCGTATGGTAAACTGTTGGTTTGGTGATAAGTAAGGGTGAGAGCGGTAAGAAATAAGTTTTTAAAATTATGTTTGTTTTAAGCGAAGGAAAAGTGAAATTTTTACTTTTGGCAGGTTAAAAACATTGTTTTAGAGAGCACTGCTGAACCGAAACTTCGACCTTAAAGATCATTTCACTGAGGAAGAGATCAACACCACGTTGGCCTACCTCTACGTTCGGTAAGTTTACTGTCATTTCTTGATTTTTTAAATTTGATGAATATGCTGTTTATGAGACTTAAAACGATGTTTTTTGATTTTTGAAATGGATTTTTAACTATGTTTATATATTCTTTAACTTTGCTTATAATTGTTATCGTTTCAGCGATATTCCCACCTCCCCCACTCCTGGTACAGATGCTGTTGATGTAAGTGATAGTACGGCTATAAAAGAGAGCAATTACACTGAATATATGTACGACCTTGAATCAATGGAATCTTCTACGTCTCCGTGAGTTTTTTGATTAAAATTGATTTTTAAAATTTCGTTCTTCCCCTTCCCCCTCCAGAAAAAACGAAAAAGCTGGACTATAGATTTTTGATTTTTTTTTTGATCTTCCTCTGCCGTATTTTTTTCTCTTCCCCTACTTGAAATGTTTTTGACTTCCCCACCTCCCATTTCTTCCCTCCACACCCAAATCACCCTCCCGTTATTGATTACATTAGTTTTGATGCAAAATGTCGATATTTCAGCCCAAACACGCTGCTGACGATCATCATCGTGAGTGGTTTGGTTATTTTATCAGTTGTAATTTCCGGCGTCGTCGGATTCATCGTCTACAGAACGAAGCAGGTCGAGTACCCGGATGTGCCAATGCCAGTCATACAGAGACGCGACCTCAATCGAGATGTCATCTTGAACACCGGCCAAAAGGAAGTGGTCAAGATCTAGTTCAACGTCCGTCCACCAATATTTTGTAGAATAAAACCTTCTTTCTGTATCGTGCTGATTTTTATTTTGAATTGTTTTTTCTTGCTTTGGTGGTGGAAGTTGAATGTTTCTTTTATGCTAACAAGGGCGGAGGTCGATATTTTTTTGAGTTTTGTTTTTGTATCGTCTTGCCTTCTGTTTTGTATTGATTTGTTTTGGGTAAGGGTATTGGAAGTTGTAATTTTTTAAAAAGGGCAGAGATTGACATTTTTTTCCAAGGCCTGGCGGCATCTCAAGAAGACCTATGAAGACAGGTATGATTTCCTTGGAAGCCGATAACTTTGATACACCTCGTAACATTTTCCAATAACTTGTGGCATTTCGAGTAAAAATTGTTAAAAATTAGCAAAAATAATAGAGTTTGGTTACTTAAGAATAATATTTTTGGTATAATGAGGAGATTTTATATTATCATAGACATTAAGAACGTTATTTTTTATTTTTATCGTTTAGGTATGAACAAGCTTGTAGTGAGATAAAAATATTTTATTTGCTAAATATCTATCACAATGATAAAGTTACAACAAGTTTTCTTAATTCAAATTGGTTTTCTTTGTTGTAGAGTTGAGACCTTAATTGAGTGAGAAAAAGGTGTCCGCTTCTAAAATACATCTGACCAGTGGTTGAAGACCTAAAAAATTTTAAGAGTAACATAACTTTAATTAAAAAAATTGAAATTTTTTTGAATATAATATCGATTTTCATTCAAAGATGCAAAAAAGTGTTAAAATTTCGAGAAATCAATTTACCCTGCCAAATGTATTGGACATTGAAAAATGAGTTGAAAATATAACTTACAGAAGAATAAGCAGTAAAAAACGTCTGAATACACAATATGGCATGTGAAAAGGGTTGTAAAATTGGAGAAAAGGTAGAGCTGTAAGATAAAAATTTAAAATTTTTATGAAAAACTAAAATTTTTAATTTAGAATTTGAAAAAATTATTAAAGCATACTTACTGTGCCAAGAATGAAAACAACTGCCCATTCAAATGAGGCTTGTATTTTTGCCTAAAGTAAAATATTTTATTTGAAAAGATGTTTTAAAAAGTTCAACAGGATGGTAATACAGGGTAGGGCTGGGGTAAATCAAGGGTGGGATAGGTAGGGTAGGTTAGGGGAAGGTAGGTTGTGATAGATAGGCTAAGGTAATGGAGGGTTGGATAAGGCAGGATAAGTTAAGGAAGGGTAGGATAGGATAAAGTAAGATAAGGTAAATTTGGAAAATCAATACTATGTGAACGCAATGTAAAATTTTTTCTAAAATATTGGGTTAGAGGTAGGGGTAAGGTATTGTAGGGTACGGGTAGTGATAAGGGGAAGGCAGGGCAGGTAGGGAAGAGTAGGATAGGGTAGGGCATGGTAGGGTAGGGTAGGCTGGAGTAGTGTAGGGTAGGGTAGGGTAAGGTGTGATAAGGTAAGTTAATGTAGGGTAACGTTGGTATAGTGTTAGTAAACTTACAATATGAGTTTCGTTATCTGCTTCTAGCCTTCCAAACTCATCTACAGTAACATTACTCTTCTTATGTGACCTAGCTACATAAAAAACGTGTAATACACTATGTATTAAGCCTGTCAACACAATAATCCAAAAATGAATGTCCAATGAAATTTTGGTACTAACCAATACTTGTACGATGTACAAAACACTTGTCATCAAGAGTAGTATTAGTACTAAAATGGCATTTTCGGTCAAGGACCGCTTTAACAGTGCTTTTTGGTCGATATGTTCCACTGCTTTTGAAGTTGTGTTGTTGGGTTTTAAAATTTCTTTGAGTGTTGCAATACTTGATGTTATCAAATATAGTATGATGAATACTGAAACATTTGGAAGTTTAAAAAACGCTTTTAAATTTTGTTTTTTTTAAATTTTAAATTAAAAAATGAACTTAAAGGGAAAATACCCCCGCGCCGCTCAAAATCAGCTCAAAATTTTTATATGAATTCCTTGTACCACCAATAGTACCCATAAAATATGTTAGCTCGCGCTTTTGAGTTTTAAAACAAATATTTGAATTTCCCGCCAATTCGACAAATTTGGCATTGTGTTTCAAGCACTTTTTTCGACTTTCCAGACAAGCTACGCTTAAAAATTCAAAAATGTAGGTTCATTTAACGGTTTTCTACTAGTATATCAAGGAAAAATAGTCAAAAGTCAAAAAAATGGCAAGTTATAAGCTTGAAACACAATGCCAATTTGGCGGGAATTCAAACCTAACTTTTTGATTGCGATTTTCTTGAGATTGAATGGAAAGCGCGATTTAGTACTTTGGTGAAAAGCTTATATTTACATGGTGTTTATATATAAAAAGTTTGAAGTCTATCAGAGCAGGGCAGGTCGGGTACTTTGCTTGTTAAAAATAGCTAAAAAGTTTAAATTCAAAAGAAAAATAGGCTAAAAATAGAAAAAATAGGCTTGAAATAGAAAAAAATAGGTTTAAACTATAATATTATGAAGCTGAAAACAGGCGCTAGCTAAAAAACGGGGGGGGGGGTGGATGAAGGGGTAATATGTCATGTTGCACTTACCATTTCTGAAGCTTCTAAGCTGCTCTTTGTAATGAAGCTGGAACAGTGTTAGCAATGTTATTGGCATTAGTAGAGTCAAGCCTAGAAAATGACATTTTTTGATTTTAAAATTTTTAAATGAAAAAAATATTTTGTAATTTTAAGTAAAAAAAAGTTTTAAAACTTACACTTTAGGTAATAATCAAACGGTTTGTTTCTGTTCTGGAGTGTCAGTTTTACTTGTATTGCCTAAAATATTTTGAAAAGTTACAAGCTACTTTATTTAAAATTAAGAAAAAGTAGGGTGGGACAGGAAAGGGTAGGGTAGAAGAATATAATATAGAGTAAGACAGGATAAAACGGGATATGGCAGGGTAGGGTATAATATGGTAGGGAAGAGTAAGGTAAAGCAGAGTAGGATAAGGTTGGGTAGAGTGTCTTAGGCTATGGTATTGTATGGTATGACAATTTAGGGAAAGATCATAAGTAGGGTAGGGTCGAATAGGGTAGAGTAGATGTAGGGAAAGATATGGTGGCGTATGGTTGAGCGCGGTTGGGTTGATTAGAATAGGGCAGGTTAGGGTAGAGTAAGGTAGGTTAGGGTAGGGCAGATTAAGATATGATAAAGCAGGGTAGAGTAAAATAGGGTAGAAGGTAACACCAACTTACAGTAGCCAATACAGCTAAAAAAGTTATAGCCCAGTCTTCCATAGGTATTTGGTTAACACTGACTTGGTCGACCATGCTTATCTTATGATTATAATGCTAGTATTAGTCCAGGTTGTCTGGCGTGTAGTCCAGTCCACTATGTTATATAGGTCTTAGTAGTCCAGTCTACTATATTTATGTAGCTCAGTAGTCCAATTCACTATATATATATACTTAGATAACACTAACCTAGGCTACCGTAACCGCGAGAGGAATGTTCGACGGTGTGGTGGTAAAGGAAGTGAGATGGCAATCTTAAGCCTCCGAGATATGTGAGAGCAATTAAACGAAGACGACGCTCTGTTTACTGTAACGTTGTGTCATCTCTATCAACCTTAATCCGTGTCGCTTCGTATGTTGTGAATCGCTGTAATTGCCATATCGTATGTTTTAGAACGCATCTTGTGACATGATATGTTAGGTAAAGGAGCTTCTTGTCATACGTAAGGTATCTTCTTTATATGTTGCAGTTTGTTATGTCTATTTTGAGTATAGGGGTCTATTATGTTAGGTATGGGTTTCAATTTGTTGGGTAGGGTAGAGTAGGGTAGGGTAAGGTAGAGTAGGGTAGGGTAAGGTAGGGTAGGGTAGGGTAGGGTAGGAGAGGGTAGGGTAGGGTAGGGTAGGGTAGGGTAGGGTAGGGTAGGGTAGGGTAGGATACGGCAAGGTATGGTATGGTATGCTAGGGTAGGGCAAGGTAAGGTTGGTGTGGGTAGGGGTAGGGGCTGGACATCCTTTCTCGTACTTGTCTACAGTACCTTTCAGTAGCAAATTGTTAAGAATATAATTGCTTTGACTAATATGGTCTTGAGAATAAGATATGAAAGAAAACGGAAGTCTTTAAGCCGAGGATTAGGTAACCATACGGAAAGGAAGGGTACTGTAAGTAAAATGGGCTGTAGTGGATTGGTCGAACCTTTCTATAGATTTTTTATGTGAGGGGGGGGAGGGGATGAAAGCTATCCCTAACCTAACATAAGTTTTTTTGTTTACCCTACTTTGCTTTAAAATATCATATCCTTGCCTGTTATAAATTACCATACCCTGAACTGCTCTACGTTATTCTAAAATACTTTAGCATGGCCTGATCTACCCTGATCGACCCTAGAATGCGACACCCTGTGTTGGATTATCCTATTTTGATCTAAAATGCCATATCTTGCCTTGAACTGCCCTACTTTAATTTAAGATGATATGCCCTGTTTCACAGTACCCTACTTTACTCTAACGTGCCATATACTGCCTCCAACTAATCTACCCTAGTTTAAAGTGTTGTGCCTTTCTCTGAAATACCCTATTTTACTATAAAGTGCCATGCTTTCTTTTGAATTACTCTACCTTACTCTAAAGTGTCATTCTATGCCATACCCTACCTTACTCTGAAGTGCCATTATCTGCCCTACCTTACTATAAAGTGCCGTACTCTGCCCTACCTTACTCTGAAACGTTGGATTTTGCCCTACTGTAGTCTAGCTTGCCCCGAGTTATCCTACCCTACTTTAAAATAACATATCCTGTCTTGAACTTCCCTACCCTACTTTAAAATGTAATGCCCTGCTCTGAAATACTCTATCTTACTTTAAAATTCGCCTTCTTTCAAATATTTTCTGCGCCCACCTAGTGGGCCTCAAGTCTACTATAATCTTGTTTTTCACTGTAGTATTAACATCTAAACCTAAACAAACACGAATCTATTTATAAATTCAAATAGCTGTTGTCTTATCGCAAAAAAGAGCTGCATAATCAACCAAACTGTAGGTTTATGTGAGGCTTATACCTTTTAATCTATTGTCTCTGCCCAAAAGTGGTGTTTTGAGTTCAATTTTAAAGCTCTTTGGTAAACATATTTTGGTATATAAACCTTCTTTTTCAATAGTATTAGTCACGTTGGTGGTCTTTTTGAATATTTTGAAAATATTTTTAAAAATTTTTTAATTTTTAAAATTCTAATTTTTGTGAACTAATAAGATATCTACTGACTTCTTGGTAGTAGAAAAGAAGCTAGTAACATGGATTTTACTGGAAAAGTTGTGATTGTAACAGGTAAAATAGTAGGGTAGGGTAGGGTAAAGTATGGCATTTGCAAGTAGGATAGGGCAAGATAAGATAATATAATATAAGGCAAGGCAAGGCAGAATAGGATAACATAGGGTATATCGTACTATAATATAGGCTAGGCTAAGTTAGGGCAGGGTAGCTTATAGTGTCTCAGATTAAGGTAGGGTAGCTCAGGGCAGGGTATGACGTTTTAAAGTACATTAGAATAGGGTAGGACACGACAAGCCATGGCATTTTAAAGTAGGGTGGGGCTATTTTAGAGCAAGCTATGGCATTTTATGTTAGGTTAGGGTATTTCAGAGTAGGGTATGGCATTTTATAGTAGTGTAGGGTTTTCTAGGAACGGATATGGCATTTTAAAGTAGGCAAGGATCTTTCAGGATAGTTCATTTTAGAGTAGGGTCGGGTACTTTAGGACTGGGTATAAAATTTTATAGTAAGACAGGGTTGTTTTGTGCAGGGCATGGCATTTTAAAGTAGGCTACGTTCTTTTAGGGCGGGTTTTGACATTTTAGGGTAGACTAGAGTATATTGTATGACATTTAATAGCTGGTCAGGGCATTCTATGTTAGGGTAGTCTTTCAACAGTTTTAAATTTAAGTTTAAAAAATTTATTTTAAAAAATAATTTTGTATTTCAGGTTCAAACTCTGGAATTGGCAAGCAAACAGCATTTGAATTCCTTTCCAAAGGTGCTAAAGTTACTTTACATGGCCAAAATGAACAAAAGCTAAAGGTAATAACATTGAGTTTAAGGTAGGGTAGGGCAGGGTACGATAGGGCAGGGCAAGGTAGGATAAGGTAGGACAGGGCAGGGCAGGGCAGGGCAGGGCAGGGCAGGGCAGGGTAGGGCAGGGCAGGGCAGGGCAGGGCAGGGCAGGGCAGGGCAGGGCAGGGCAGGGCAGGGCAGGGCAGGGCAGGGCAGGGCAGGGCAGGGCAGGGCAGGGCAGGGCAGGGCAGGGCAGGGTAGGGTACGGTGAAGTTTGGCAGGGTAGGGCACGTTCAAACAAAGGTGGGCAGGGATTTTCAAAAATTTTTTATAAAAATTTTAAAAGTTGAAATATTTTTTTTGCATTTTTACTTTCCAGGATACCATATCCGGGTTCATGGCCAATGATATTAACCATGATAACATACATTATGTTCTTGGGCCGATCCAAGAAAAGGAAACCCAAACCAAATTGATTAAAGAAACGGTCGATAAATTCGGTCGATTAGACGTTCTAATCAACAATGCCGGCATATCACACGATGGTAACTTAGAGTTACATTCTACTGAGCAATTTCACAAAGTAATGAGTATTAACGTCGAGAGGTAGGAGTGTCATTTCTTGTTGACATTGCCATTTTAGTGTGATATCACTGTCCAGAACAGCATTGCCAGAGTTGGAGAAGACGAAGGGTGCCATAGTTAATATCAGCTCGGTCAGTGGACAAAGACCTGCCTTGTTTTGGCAGTTCTACCGTATCTCCAAGGCCGCTCTGGATCATGCTTCGAAAATAATGGCGTATGACTTTTCTCAAAATGGTGTTAGAGTCAATAATGTTAGGTAAGTTACCCTGTCTTTACATATAGACCTAGTCTAGATCCCTAGCCCAGAGCCCTAGCCCAGAGCCCTAGTCCAGAGCCCTAGCCCAGAGCCCTAGTCCAGATCCCTAAACAATCCTCTTTTCACTTAATTTATATATATATAAATATTCACCATAGCCAATCAAAACCCATACAATATTAAATTTAAAAAAAGAAAAAAATTTTAGTCCAGGCGTGACAAAGACCAACTTCATAACCAGAAACACAAACCTAGAGACATCTGACAGTCAATTTAAAAACTATGAGAGTTTCATTCCAATGAATCGACTGGGCAAACTGACTGAAATCACTAATGTCATTCTGTTTTTGGCATCGGATCTGGCTTCATACATGACTGGAGCCGTTGTTGTTGTGGATGGTGGCATGCTGCTTGGACCGGCTATTAAGAAGGACTAGTTTTGACATTTTTTTAAGTTTTCAAATTTTGAAAAGTAGGTAAAAATAAAATTTTAAACTTAAAAATCAATACAAAGTAAACGAAATGCAAATTTTTATAAACCAAGGGTAGGGTAAGGAAAGTTCGAGGGTAGGAGTGAAGATAACAGCATGATCAGAGTAAGTTAGAGTAGGATAAGGTAAAATATGGTAGAAGGTAGACGTGTGGAACGGGCCGGGCCCACTTTTCAGGCGCGGCCCGACCTGAGTTTTTTCCTCGCCCGTGCCGGCCTGAATTTTTTTTACGTGTAAACGGGTCGGCCATTTCAAGCCGTGTTTTTTGAGATTTCAAAGCCCGGCTTGATCTAAATCTTGATCAGGTTCGGCCCGGCCTATTCCTTATGTCTACAGCAAGGTAAAGTAGGGTAGGGCAGGGCAGGGCAGGGTAAGGCAGGGTAGGGTAGGGTAGGAAGGGTAGGGTAGGGTAGGGTAGGGTAGGGTAGGGTAGGGTAGGGTAGGGTAGGGTAGGGTAGGGTAGGGTATGGTAGGGTAAGATAGGGTAGGAAACAGCAAAAATTACATTAACTACAATTATTGTGTTCAGTATAAATAATATAAAGTGATCTGGTTACTCTCCAAAACAAGTGTAATTGAAAATTGTTTAAATTTATAAAGAACACGTTCAGGAACCGTTCAATTTCAAAATCAAAGTACACATGTTTACAGAGGTTTCCCTGCAGTTGCAGACAGAAAAAATAGTAATAGGATTAAGCTTTGCTTGGAAAAACTTTAACCTAGAGCCGTAGTCCAGAGCCCAAGCCCAGACACTCTAAGCCTAGAAATAACATTCTCATAACTTTCTATGCCTAAAAGGATTTTGATCGGGTCCCACCGCGAACTCTGATCTCTTGATTGGAACAGAAAAACAAGGCATAATATTTTGGATTGACTGGTCTTTTAACATGTTCAAATTATTAGTTTTACTACCTATGTTCTAGCCAATCCATACCTTTGATGTAGCCTTTATGTAAAACAGAAATACAGTATAGTAAGCATTGTATAAGAAGACAAAACACTATATTTGTTACCTTTTGTATCATTATTTTTTTGTTTTTTAATAATTAATATTGTTATTACAGTATTCAATTTATCCGTAATTTATTACAGTAATAAGCAAAGGCAAAGGCAAAATTTTTTATTTTTTTTTCAAAATTTTAAAATTAAAAAAAAACTTTTGTTTTCAAAACTAGAAATCTATGCCATTTTTAAACCTACTCTACAAGCAACAACACACCAAATTAAGCAAACATCACATAGCAAAAAGCTACAAGCAGATCGAATTAAGAACAGTTTAGTCTATGTTTCAAACTTGTCACAAATTATAACACGACGCTACATTAACTGTGGTCTCTTGGAAACGAGAGTAAATCGAAGCGAAATCACGTCGATTCATCGTATTTAAACACTTAATTGATGTATCACACAACATTTTAGTTTATACAATGACCGACAAGCTCGAATTGACGGTAAGGGAGTTTTGGAAATTTTTAAAATTGAGGTTATAGTAGAACGAAGCTTTGTGTTAGAACGCTGAACTAGGACACTGAGCTAGGGCCTTGGTTTAGCGCTCTGGGCTAGCGCTCTGGGCTAAGGTCCTAGGCTGTGGGCTGGGGCTCTGGGCTAGGGCTCTGGGCTAAAATTAAGGTTAGGGCTTCAGACTAGGGACAAAGCTGGGGAGAGTAGAGAAAAGTAGTTAAAATTTTGATGATATTTAAACTTTTTCAGAATCCCCGTTACAAAGACGGTCGAGTGTTGACTCGTGAACAGCTTGAATTCTATGACAAAAATGGCTTTATTCTTATTAAAAACTGCGTTCCTAAAGCCGATTTGAAGAGATTTAAGTAAGTTTAGAGGGATTTTTTTAACTATGACAAGCCATATCTACACGATAAGTGTACTAATTTCAACCAGGTTTAAGATCAAAATTTTTAGTACTATTAAGTACCATTTGAAATATTTTTGAAATTTTTTATAATGTGGTCTTGAAAATATGAACGTTTTAAAATGACAAACACTGAAAGTTAAAAAATTTTTGATTTTTCAAAATTATCACTGCCATTTTAAAAAAGTTCTGTAGATCAAATTGTATGATATTTAATATAGTGATTTATAGTACTACTTAGCACAATATATATACTTTTTGTAGATTTGTATCAGCTAGTTTTAGAAATATGATTGTTTAAAACCAGCCGGTTTACAAATTCTCAAAAAAATAGTTTTTTAATCCTTAAATTTTAATATCTATTAAACTAATGTTTCAAACAATACCATATTTAGTAGTAGTACAACTGGTACTATATGTTGTCATATTCTAAAACTTTATTAATTTCAGTAAAAGATTCCTGGAGATAGCGGCCGGTAAAAATGTGCACCCCCAAATCACGGTGATGAAGGGCGAGTGGAAAGACAAAGGAAACATTGAGTTCGTGGTCGAAAAGTTGCAAGATTTCAATGTAGATCCCGTACTTTTTGACTATTGCAAACATCCACATGTGAGTTTTGTCATAGTTTTTGATAATTATATGGTTTTTGTTTTTTCGATAATTTTTGTGACATTTCGTTAAATTAACTATATCTTACTTAAAAATAATATTCACTGTTTTTATATGAGGTTAGAACTGTTAAAAAACATATTTCTAACTTTTTGTTTTTCCGATAATTTTTGTGAAATTTCTTATTCTATGACAAGTGAAATTTCGTTTTTTTATCCAATAAATTTTGTGACATTTCGTCTACATTTTATAAAATAGATTTTTTGTCTTATAAAAGTAATAAAAAGAATATATTATCTTTTTTTAGGTAGTGGACGTAGTAGAAGACCTGATCGCCGGCGACAATGACAAGATCATGGCGATGCACACCATGTTGATCAACAAGCCTCCAGACACCGGATCATTGAAGTCTCGTCATCCAATGCACCAGGACCAACTCTACTTCCCCTTCGGTCCCGAAAACTTTATTTGTTGTGGCTGGACGGCGATGGAGGCTGTGACAAAACAAAACGGATGTCTAGTAGTGGTGCCTGGCTCGCACAAAACGACCGGTAAATTGTTGCCACACAAATATCCGGAATGGGAGGGTGGTGTGAACAAAGCCTACTACGGTGTTCATGACTATGACCCGAGTCAGCCTCGAGTGCATGTCGAGATGGAGGCTGGGGATACTGTATTCTTTCATCCTTGGTTACTGCACGGTAGTGGAGCTAACAGAAGTCAAGGAAGTCGTCGTGCCATATCTTGTCACTATGCTAATGGCTCTAGATGTCATTACTTTGATGTGGCGGGGACACCGGCTGAGGAGTTGGCCAAGGAGGTGGTGGAGATGAACAAGAAGAGGGCCAAGAGGATGGGAGAGAACCCTGACAATGTCAACTTTATTGTAAGTTAATTTTAAATTAGTAAGGCAGAGTAAGGTAAGATAGATTACTGTAAGGTAGGGCAAGGTAAAGTAGGGTAGGGTAGGGTAGGGTAGGGTAGAGTAGGGTAGGGTAGGGTAGGGTAGGGTAGAGTAGGGTAGGGTAGGGTAGGGTAGGGTAGGGTAGGGTAGGGTAGGGTAAGGTAGGGTAGGGTAGAGTAGGGTAGGGTAGGGTAGGGTAGGGTAGGGTAGGGTAAGGTAGGGTAGGGTAGGGTAGGGTAGGGTAGGGTAGGGTAGGGTAGGGTAGGGTAGATTACGATATGTTACGTGTAATTTGAAATTTTAGGACATTTGGAAGCACTCTGGCCGATGTGTAAATGGTGTTCGCGCCAATCTGTAGACTATCAACAACTTCATTATGTTACAAAATGTCATCTCATAATACCAAACCTTATTAATGTATTAAACTTATAAAGATAATAAACTTTTTTTATAAATTTTTTAAAAATTTTATTATTTTACCCTTGCTTTGCCTTGCCTTGCCTTGCCTTGATTTGCCTTGCCTTGCCTTGCCTTGCCTTGCCTTGCTTTGCCTTGCCTTGCCTTGCCTTGCCTTGCCTTGCCTTGCCTTGCCTTGCCTTGCCTTGCCTTGCCTTGCCTTGCCTTGCTTTGCCTTGCCTTGCCTTGCCTTGCCTTGCCTTGCCTTGCCTTGCCTTGCTTTGCCTTGCCTTGCCTTGCCTTGCCTTGCCTTTATCCCATCTTGACCTTCTCCTGAGCCGTTATAAAGAAGATTTACATTTCGTCTACTTGTTATTGATTTTTCTGTTTTTAATTTGTTATTCCTTGTTTGATCTTACCCTAACCCTACTAGCATCTACCTCTTCCTTCTCTCAGCCCTATCTTCATATCCCTACCCTCTCCTACCTCTACCTTCAAATACATATACTTTCACCTACTCTTACCTTCTTCTACTTCTACCTTCAACTACCCTAACCTCCTTTAAAATTCTTACAAGTAAAATTTACATTTCGTCTACTTGTTATTGGTTTTCTCTATTTCAACTTGCTATGCCTTACCCTACCCGGCCTTACTAAAATCTTTGACATTCACCATTCTATATAGACAACATAATACTAAACGCGTTTATTTCACTGATATGCAACAAATAACATGGTACCAAACATACGAAATCAATTTTTCAAAAACAATAGAACTTTGAGCAACCTTCAATTAAAAATTTTAAAATTTTAAAAACACTTTGGTCAGATCTTTGTGATACATAACAGACAATAAAGACAAGACAAAGTAGACACGGAGATTACTACGGTAAACGTCGACACTAACAGACCGATGACAATGTCACAATCGAAACTGAGCTTCAGAATGTCATTAAGACAAAGGGGTATTTACAAAAAATGGCATGGATTTTTGAAATTTCAAAAAAATTACAAAAAATTTTCAAAAATTTCAAAAAAATTTAAAAAATTACAAAAAATTTTTCAAATTTCAAAATTTCAAAAAAAATTTAAAAAATTTTAAAGTCTATGCCGTTCCGTGGGCTCAATCTGAATCCGAACATTCGAATCAGTGGAGGCTGCACTCGACGTACTCTCTTCGAATCGATTTTTGTCTACATGATCCAATGAGTTGAAGAATTTGGTGTCGGACATCTGAAATTAAAGGTATTATACCTAAATAGGTTTTAAAAAATAATAATTTATATTAAATGAGCAAAGCTTTAAATAAATCATTAAACGATTTGAAGGTAAAATAAGCTACAGAACAAAAAAGCCTAAACCTTCGCCTAAGCTTGATCGTAAAACTAGTTTCAAAACAAATCTCAAGTATAATCTCGAGCTCAAGCATAGGCTTCAAGCTGAGATTAAGGCTAAACTTAATCCCTCAACTAAGGCTAAGCATGAGTTTAATTCTTTTTAAGTCAAATTCTAAAACTAAGCTTAAGTTTAAGTTAAAACCTAAGCTTATCTTAAGAAAATGGTTAAGCCTATGCTTAAGCCTATTTATAAGCCTTAACCTTAGCCAAGCTCAAGCATAAGCCTAAGTCTATGTCTGAAATTAAGCCTAAGCCTAAGTTTATGCCTAAGCCTAAGCCTAAGCCTAAGTCTAAGCCTCAGCCTAAGCCTAAGCCTAAGCCTAAGCCTAAGCCTAAGCCTAAGCCTAAGCCTAAGCCTAAGCCTAAGCCTAAGCCTAAGCTTAAGCCTAAGCCTAAGCCTAAACCTAAGCCTAGGCTTAAGCATAAGCCAAAGCCTAAGCCTAAGCCATAGTTTTAGCCTAAGCCCTAGCCATAATTGCATGTAAAAGGTATAAAGCAAACGCCACGACAGAAGGAGGAAAATAAGCTCACATTAGAAGCGAGGAAAGTCACCTGAGTAGGTGTCGGTTCGATGGTGGGGTGCACTTCGCCTCTCGTACACATCGCCTGCACAAACCCAACTCCAAAGCCATCTCCAGTCACATTAACACAGGTACGGAGTCTGTCTCTAAAATTTTAAAATTATTTTCAAAATTTTCAAAATTAATTTTTTAATTTCAAAATTTCGAAACTCACAAGAACCAATCGACGGCAAAGATCAAAGACACGTCTTCGACCGGTAACCCAACAGCCGTGAGAACAATCAACATCGTCACTAGACCAGCACTTGGGATGGAAGCTGCGCCAATTGAGGCCAAAGTGGCAGTTAAGGAAACCGTCAAAACTTGGCCAATCGATAGTGATATTCCGTTCAACTGAGCAATGAAAATTGATGCTACTGCTTCGTACAAGGCGGTACCGTCCTGAAAATACATTATTATACATTTTGAAATTAATAAAAACTGCTTTTTAGTTGATATAAGTAATTTGACAAAATGTCACAAAAATTATTGGAAAATGTAACGAAGTGTCACAGAAATTATTGAAAAATGTAATAATGTCACAAAAGTTGTAACAAATGTCAAAAAAAGTTTTCGAAACATATAGCAAAACGCTACAAAAATAATCGAAAAATTTAACGAAGTGCCACAAAAATTATTGGAAAATGTAACGAAATGTCACAAAATTATAAAAATCATAAAAATGATACATCATAGTCAAACTAAATTTAAAAATAATATTAAAAGTAATATACTTACCATATTAATCATAGCCCCAACCGGTAACACAAACTTTGTGAACCTTGGCTCACATTTGTTGTTCTGCTCCAAGCATCTAAATGTAGCTGGCAGGGAAGCGGCACTAAAACAAAATTTTTTACGTTATTAGTTTTGACAATGTATAAAATTTCACTTTTCAAATAAAAAGTTCTTAAAAAAAGTTAATTTAAAAAAAAAAGTTATTGCCGTTTTTAAAACTTTTTACTTTTTTAAAAATTTAAATGATAAATATTGTTAACAATACTATATTTACTGATGTCAAAAAGTTTCATCAGTTTTGACAAACTGGAAACAAAGTTATTGCAATTTTTCAAAAAAATTCAGCTTGGTCCTGTGGAGTTTTTTGCCAAATGATACCTGATTTTTTAAAGGATAAGGTAGGGTAGTAGCAAGGGTTGTGTAGTTGAGAGAGTAGGAAAGGGTAAGGTAGCATAAAGTATGGTAGGGTATGGTAGATTATTTTTAAATTAGTTCAAATTTTAAATTTAAAAATTTTTTGAAAAATTTTATTTGGTCCCCCCTGTGGATTTTTTGCCAAAATTTTTTTTCTTAATTTTAAAAATCAATTTTTTATAAAAAAAATCTCAAAAACCTTACCTCGATCCAGTACCCAACGCAGTAGCCATAGCTTGTCCTAGCCCCTTCATATAAGCGTATGGGTTCTTCCTCGACGCAATGAAGTAAATCAGAGGTATCGTGATGAATAAATGAATCCCCAAACCAGCAACAACCGTAACCATGTACATAGCCAAAGTCTTTACCGTCTTGAACACATCGTCAATCTCCAGAATCTTCTCGGCAATCAGCGACGCTATACCAATCGGAGAGTACCACATGATCAGCCCTACCATAGTGGTGATAACTACATCCAAAGCTATGAAGAAGTCAGCCAAAGGCTTGGCTTTCTCGCCCACAAAACTGATAATCAGCCCTGTGGCAATGCAGAACACGATGATGCCGAGCACGTTCATACCCATCTTGTACTCGGGGATAAGACGTTGATGTTGGTTACCATTGTGATCCGTAAAGTATTCATGTCGGGTTTCGAGTGTGTTGAACGAGGATTGTACGATGTTGTCCGGGAACATGTTACGCACCAAGTCCATGATCTTGTCCAGAGCTGTCACATTCGTACTCTCGATTGGTTTTGGCTTCAAATCATCGTTTCGAATGCTGGGATCACCAGGATGAATGATCAAGACCAGTGTGATACCAGTGAATACGGCCAATGTTGTTGTTAGGCCATAATAGCAAAACGCGTAGCCTCCGATACGACCGGACTGCTTGGCATCCAGTTGGGACAGACCTTAAATATTGTTCTTTATTGCCATGCTTTGTCTTGTATTTTTGTTTTCAGCTATTAATTTAGGATAAGGTAGGGTATACTAAGAAAAAACAGAAAAATCAATAACATGTAAAAGAAATGTAAATTTACTTGTAAAGGCTTTGGTAAAGTTAGGGTAGGATAGAGTAAGATAGGGTAAGGTAAGGTAATTAGGATAAAATTGCTTATATATTGTTTTCTTATCAATTTAAAGTAATTAAGACCAAAAAACGTATTTCACTTTTTTAGATCAGTATGACAGCATTTTTAGAAGTCATTATGACAGCTAACTACTAAACGAAAAAAAACATACCAGAAATCAGGCTAGCCGCGACCAGCGGCAAAATAGTCATTTTGAGCATATTCATGAGCATATTTCCGGGAAACCCAATGTATTCAATGACCTGGTCGGAAGGATGAGCCAATCGGCATGAGAAGCCCACCACACAGCCTACTACAACACCGGCCAAGGTGAGGACTAGAAGCAGATGCTCACGGTTGTCACGTAGTCCCATTTTTGAGGTCCTAAAAAGAATTTTTAAAAGTTTTAAAATGAGTTTTTAATTTGCAGTTATAGGTCGAAAAATAGTGAGAAAAGGGGGTTGAAGAGAAGAGGGTTGGGGAGGGTAAAGGGTAGGAGGGTACAGTAGGGTAAAGTAGGATAAATTGAGTAGGGTTTGGTGGGGCAAAGCAGGATAGATAATAATAGATCAAAACATAATAAAAATTAAAAAGAACATTATGCTGAACAAAGAATTTCGGAGCTGATATCATGAATAATATGGGCAGTTAATAGGCAACGAAAACTCAATAAAATTTAATACAAAATTCAGATCAAAAGTATTTCTTAAAAAGGCTGGACCGGACCAAAACGAATTTGAAAAAAGTTGCGCAAAAAAATTAGGTCCAACCCGGCCTTTTTAAAGTTATAGCTATAACGCAAAAATCTGAACACAAGTGGTGAGCAAAAGGAACAAATAATCTTGTATAACAAACCCCACTATACCAAACTCTACAACCACGAAGACCCCAAATAACAAACAACTTTTGAATCTCTAGTCAATACTACACATATATAGCGTTTACAACTCTTGCACTACAAAACGTTTTCATAACAAACTAATTTACATACCGCAAAACGTTCCGGGTACTGACATATTATCATCTTTCCTCCCCCCCCCCTTTCTATCTCACCCCCCCCTCTCATCTCACCCCCTCCACCCCAAAAAACCTTCACCCCAGCTATCGATAATATAAAGAACAAGTAAAGCCCAACCTCGTTACGATAATAATGGAAAACTTGAAACCGCAAGCGCTTTATGTTCATCAAAACAATAAGGTTAGTTTAACAAAAATTTCTTCAAAGAACAATATTATGAAAAGGTTTGATGAAAACACATCAATTTTCAAATTTCGCAGTAGTTTTTAAAAATTGTTTATAATTAACTATAGTAAACCAGAGGGTATGGTAGAGTAGAGTAAGATAGAGAAGGGTAGCGTAGGGTAGGGTATAATAATATAAGGTAAAGTAGGGTAAGATAAAATTTTGTCACTATTGCCATTTCAAATCTAGACTCTTACTTCTAAACATGACAAAATCAACTAACTAGTCCTTTTCAAAATGTCGTCAAATTTCGAAAAACGACTTGGTAGCTATTTGAAATCAGAAAAAACGGCTACAAGTCCACTTTGCGCAATAAATTTTGTTAACAAAACCTCAGTGAAATCGATGAAATTATTGTGTGGTAAACAAAGCTATCACTTATAAATCTATTAACGTCTTTATGACCTTTTAGTCTAGCCAAAAAATTATGTTTTAGCCGGATGATTGATGGTACGGTTCCGCTTGGTTTTTTAAAAATCATTTTTCGTTAGCTTTTTTGAAATTGAGGTTAAAACAGCCTTGCCAACATTTTTAGCTTTTTCAAATAGAATGTAAATGTTTTTTGTCTAATTTAGACTATTGAAAAATTTCCAATAATTTTGTGACGTTGCGCAACATTTTCCAATAAATTTGTGACATTTCGTCAACTTTTGCTTTTTGGCTTAAAGCTTGTTAAAAACGATATATAAACACATCTACCCTATCCTACTCTACCCTACCCTTCCCTACTCTTCCTGCTTTACTCTACCCTACTTTACTATGCCTTTATCCTTTCCTAGACACCCTACCTGATCTATCTTGTCTTTCTTGATTTACCCTACCCTACATGATCTTCCTTACCCAGCCTTGGCAAATCAGTCTTACCTGTTCTGAACTGCCCTGCCCGATCTACCCTGTTTTACCATACTATACCCTACCTGATCTCAAAATCAAATCAAAACAAAAATTTAACAACTTTCTCTCCCCCCCCCCTCTCCTTCTCCCTTTCCCTTAAAAATTGCTTAAAGATCAAAAATACCCGTTCAGCGATTTATCGCCATGTTTTTTTACTCCCTTGCACGACGGCCATGCGTACAATAAACAAATTCAGGGACAAAAGTCTTCCGTGAACGTGGGGGGATCAAGAACAGTTAATCGGAAGGAAAACAGTCACACGGAGTGAAAGGGCGTCACAATCGTGTTTGTAAATGGTTATTAAAAGCCGTGTAAACATGTATTTTCGGCTGGGTTTTTAATACAAACTACGCGTTTTGAAAGTCTTGAAAGGCTGGATTTTGCAAAATTTGAAAAATCAGAAAGTTTTTGTCATATTCAAGGGTCAGTTTGCAAAAGATAAGAATAAAAGATCACGCAATTTAAAAATTTGTTACTTTTGGCTCGACGGCTAAAACTAGAGCTAAAACAAGCTAAAAAGCTAGGACAAAGTCTAGAGATAAGGCTAGAGCTAAGGGTAAAGACAATGGAAAGATAAGAAGAACTAACTAAGGCTAAGACCAAGCTAGAAGGCAGAGTTAGAAGATAGAACAAGAACTAAAGTTAAAGTTACGACTAGAATTAGAACTCAGACTGAAACTAGGGCTAGGGCAAAAGCTAGAGCTAGAGCTGGAGCTAGAGCTAAAACTAGAGCTGGAGCTACAGCTAGAGCTTAGAGATAGAGCTAGAGTTAGAGCTAGAGCTAGAGCTAGAACGAGAGCTACAGCTAGAGCTAGAGCTAAGCCAAGGCTAGCTAGAAATCAAACTACAGCTCAGGCTAGGGCTTTGGGCTAAAGATTTTGTAAGTTTTTTGAAATAGAAACATTGTAATTGACAGAAAGCTTGAGTGCACTTGAACTCTGAGGGTCGAAAAGGTCACATTTTAAATCTTACGGGAGTCTAAAGGGTACGAACGATAAATTGTGATAAAGAATTAGATAGAAAAAAGTTATAATTATGCTACTGTACTAAACTAAGCTTATAAAAACCTTTTAAAAGAGCTGTAACGACAAAAAATGCAAAATTTTCAAAATGTAGCTATTGAACTGCAGTAAAAATACAAGAATTAATTTTCTGACTCAAAACCATATGATATACTTATCAAGACTGTTATGACAGCTGTAAAATAAGAAAGAAACATCCTGTTTTTATGCTTCTTACTGATAATTTCTGGTTTCCTTTCACAAAAAACATCCTTTTAAGCTAAACATAACATCATTATAGTCCTACCCTACCCTACCCTACCCTACCCTACCCTACCCTACCCTACCCTACCCTACTCTACCCTACCATACCCCACTCTTCCCATCATATGTCAAGCTTTACCATATACAAAAGTCCGTACACCGCCCAAAACCGTCTACATTCCAAGCTCACGCTGCGCATAAAACGTCGCAACAACCACTGACCCCGAAACGTGATTGGGAACGGTGCGAACGTTTCATATCCCACCACCTAATCGCATCATGATGTGTTAAGCTGTCGCGCTCGCTAAACTGTTGCGATATGTTTGTTCTGCATTATAATCGATATTGACAGACATTACCTGCTACGGTTGCAAAAAAAATCAAAAAAATTTTGAAAATTAATCTCATTATACCTATAGGCTTACCTCTCCCTGCACCAAGCGGGGTTTTGGCGAAAACCCAACAGGATAGGGGGGGGAGCGCGGGGGGGTGAACGGGGGGGGAAGAAACTGGCAGAAGCAAGGGGTGAATTAAGAAGAAAAAGAAGGGATAGGGGGTGGTAGGTAAAGCAAGAGTGGTAAAATTTCTTTTGCCTGAAGGCAGGAATCTACAAATCATCTTCATAAAAAATTTTAACTTAACGGTGGAGGGGGGGGCAAGGGCAGGTTAAACTTTTGTTCATTAAAAAATTTTTTTTTGGAAAATGTTCATCTTTCTACATCTCCTGTAACCTATTCTTCTATGTACTTGGGCTTGCACTCTTCCGATCTCTCAGTCCCTCCCCCCCCCCTCCAAATAAAAAAAAATTAAGAGAAATTAAAAAAAAACCCCGTCCCCCCCCCCTCAAAAAAATTGAAAAAGAAATTCGCCATAACCCCCGCCCTCTTTTGTGCACGTCCCATAGGCTCTTCTTGTAGTACTCTGTTAGTACTCTGCTCTAGTTTACTCTGCTCTACCCTAGCATACTCTGTCCTACCTTACCCTCTCATATTTTGCTCTGTCCTACACTATTATCCATTACCCTATCCTGCTATTCAATACTCTATTCTACTCTATCCTACCCTACTATGTCTACTCTTACCCTGTGCAATGTGTGTGACATTATTTATTACACTTTATGATCAGTTCTTAGAACGGTTTTGAAATAAAAAAAACTTTCTCATGATACGCAATTATCGCTAAACGTCTGTTTTTTTGACAAATCAACTGTTACACTATTACAATCAAAAAACTGTTTGTTTGGAGAATGTAAACGTATTTAGTTTATGATTACTACCTTTAGTTCTTTGTCACATCAGTAAGCCTAAGCTGATGTTAGGCTAACCATTATCAAACCCTTCGTAATATTACTAAGCCTAAGTCAATGTTAAACTTACTATTATATTATAAAACATATTGTAACATCAGTAAGCCTAAGCTAATGTTAGGCTTACTATTATCAAAGACATTGTAACATTAGTACGCCTAAGCTGATGTTAGGCTTACTATTATCAAACTCATTGAAACAATAGTAGGCCAAAGCTAATCAAGCTAATCTCAGGCTTACTATTATCAACTCTTTGTAACATTATTATGCCTAAGCCGCTGTTAGGCTTAGTAGTATCAAGCCTTTGTAAAATCGGTAAGCCTAAGCAGCTGTTAAGCATACTGATATCGAACTCTTTGTAAAATTGATAAACCTAAGCTAATGCTAGGCTTACTAATATCAAACTCATTGTAAAATTGATAAGCCTAAGCACCTAACAGGCTTACGGATATTGCTTTAAAAAAACCCTTGCCCTTTAAAAATTTGTAGACGTGAGTCTATGGTAAATCATATTACACTCGTTTCGCGCCGCTGGTTATCCATTTCCTCATTTAAAAATGGAGTGACAAAAAGCAGAACGTTTTCAATCGCAAAACGTCATCCAATATGGTTTTGATTTCACATTTTGAGTTACAGTTCAATATTAACGATTAAAAAATAATTTAG